GCTGCCAACTTTAATATTTCTGTTATAATTCACACCAGCCATGTTAACAATTTCATTTTGTTATTGAAACAACCGCATTCGGTTTAAATTCCATGTAGTCTTGCTAAATGGACCCACATCGGGGCTAGTTTTACATGAATCGTTTTCTTTGTTCAGTCAGACACTAGGACAAGTTACATATTTCCCGTTTACAAAAATACATATACATAAAAAAATAAATGCACGAACTGATACAATTTTTTCCATACAACACATATTGGCGCAGTCTCATGCTCACGTTGTTCAAACACACAAAATATTGCAGAAATGCATGGCTGTTATCACTTTTGACAGGGCCACGTTCAGTGCTGAACATTTAACGATGAGAAATAGCAGAACAATGCCGATTAATATGCACGTTTTTCTTTATCTATCATGTTCGTGTACGCTCACTTTCCAATCCATCGTCAACTCTCTCTCTCTCTCTCTCTCTCTCTCTCTCTCTCACACACACACACACACACACACACACACACTTTCCTCTGAACAGTGTCATCACTGCAATTATAGTTAGGACATTTCACATCAGTTGAGAAAACATTTCAAAGCTTCCCTTAAAAATCTGTGTTAATAAAATTCGAGCGTTCAGCCTGATACTGGAAAATATAGCCATGTAGCGGAAATGCGATATAAATGTGGTGTTACATGTATTACAAGATAAACCAAGGCAGCGCAACTAACAGAATCAAGTAGACATCACAATTTAAACGTTAATGCACAACATTATCGTCCTCTCGTTGGATGGAGCTTTTCCATAATGTCACGTTACTTTGAATACGCTTCCCACGCACATCTGGGAAAGTGGGGACTTCGTTTTACTCCCACGTTGACTTCAACGTGGCAAAAAAGGCATATCATTACTTTGAATGCAATTCCCATGCAAATCTGCAAAAGGCAAGTGGAAACCACGTTGGATTGACATTTGTGACCATAACGTTGCTTTGAGTATGATTTTCAAGTAATTTTTTTATGAACAGCAACATATGACTATACTTTCCTGCATCTTCATTTAAAGATTTCTTTAAGTCACGCGTTTGTTCCTACACGTGCTCAAAGAATGTCTTAATAGTTTGGACAATCCAAAAGTTGCATTTAAAACCTGTGTTGCCGTATATGTTTTCAGTTCCTTTGGATACAGATCATTTTGGAGCACTAAAAGGTCCGTTTCTTTCAAATCTCGCACCAGATCTTGCGAAGTTGACATGATGGCGTTCTGGTCAAACTGACCCCAAGTTTTTGACGCATCATAATAATATAACTTTAATTGTTTATTCTTCAAAAGATCTTTCAATATTGGTGAGAATATCTCAATTGCTAAACGGCTTCGTGTGAACGGATCGTTTCCGTATTTTAAAACTCTTCCAAAGGATGCCGTACTGTTCATAAGCCGATGAATTTCCGATATCCATTTTTGCGCTAAAACTGTCCGTGCACGAATGGGTCCAATGTTGGAAGTATAATAGGAGTATACATTGTTGCCACACGCTGTAAAGTCATAATCAGTCAGTCTTTCATGCATTTGTCTTACAGATTTAAAACTAAGCGTATCAACATCAAGATACGTCCCCCCGTATTGGTAAAGGATGCTGGCGCGAAAATAATCCGCCTTATGATTTGGGGTAAGCGACTTAAATAAGGGATGTAAATCTGGAACGCTTTTTGAGAATTCGGTGTCGTTTAAAAGTTTAATGTGGAAATCTTCGAAGTTATGGCAAACAATTGTGAGTATACACAATCGTATGTAAGCAGGCATATGCGGTCCATCCCAGTACAGCCATAAAAAAGGTTTGCCGTGAACCTCATACACATGCGTGCTCGCGTTGAACGTGAGCTCGCCGACATTCACAGCGTTACGGTCTACGTGCTTCCACAGGCTTTCTAGTTCCTGAAAATATCCGTGTGTATATTTTTCACCAATAGCAAGAGATATTTTCTTCAAATTCGTATATTCTTTGTGCTGTTGCGCGACGCCTAATGTATGAGACGTCTTAACTATGTCCCCAACTTTTCCCCTCATTTTAACATAAGGCATTTCGAAGTTCGTAACGTTTATGTACTGTTTTGTGCTATATTCGTACACTGGCGGTGTGATACCTAGATAATATTTTGCCACTCCGATGAACAGAACACACAGCATGGTCACAGCGAATACACGAAGAAGTTGACTAATGAACGTGACGGGGATGCGAGGCCTGCCCCGAGTCGTGCGGATTATTATGTGATGCATTTCTCTGTTGAACGTGCAGGTGCGCGTGTCTTTTTTTAATGCAGAACGTCCTTAACTCCTCCTGTGAGATCACTCTAAGCAAACCCAGGCGTTAGAATAAGAACATCAACTGCCCTACTAAAGTACAAAAGGTGTTCATGGTTTATACATGGAAATTATCACATTACATATGGTAGTTCTTACATGTAAAAGATAGTCGACTGCGATGAGTTTGATTTGAAGATCTTCCATCACAACTTTCTGTCTGCGCTACAGAGCGTGCCTGTCCTGTATCTAATTTTTAAATGTACTTGTATGTACTTAATTCCGAATGCTTCAACTATCTTCTGTCTGAGATGCACATGAAGTCACTACCCAATATCAAACTCCTTAGCAGAACTCCTACGTGTACATTCAGCATGTTTTCCAACCATTTATGTTCCTGTTGTTTATGTTAATGATGACTCACACAAAGCAGACTTCCACGTGTCTTTTCGTTGATTTCAGATTATCCCAAAACTTCATAAGTGCAACTCGAAGAAATTATTAAATATGATCAGGTTTACAGTATAGATAATCTTGATAGGTGAAATCTATACTTGCTGGCTAGTTAAAATCCTTTCGGGGGCCAAAACGTGGACCCCCCCCTCGACAATATCAACACCTGAATGTGCTTCACTGGATTATGCAGGAGACGCATTTGGGGTAATTATCTGAATCGCCATAAATTTAAAATGTCACCATCTTGATACACTTGCCTGTATACGTATTCTCGTTTCAGTCACCTATACTTATAACTGGCCAAGTTTTCATCAAGGCCAAGCGGTGTTAATGCGTTATAATTATAGCCGCATGCATAATAAACGCGATTTTATCAAGCCATTTATTTGCATAACCACATCTCAAGGCGTCAAATTTTTACACATCACAGGACGCGTACTATTTTATGTAAATTAATCAAACTCAACAATTATATATGAAGCTCACGACTACCTTACTATAATCGACCAAAAATCTCAGTAGTTGGTCGGCCAAGGATGGCTAAAACTCAATCAGCGATGCTGCTTACCCAGGAAAGCATTTATTTCGTGAGATAAATAAATTATTTCTTTTTATCATGGTCTTACGCACTCCGTTGGTTTAACGGGCTTAGAGGCTATCCCTGATCTAATCAGGGAAGCTAATTTTACATCTTTAATGTGAAACAAAGGTACACTGGGGTTGAAACGCTACAAAAATCCGTTTTAATGACGTTTTTGTGATATTAATTGTCGCCCTGTACCTTGACAAAACTGTAAGTGTTGATAAAAAGCAAAATCTTTAAAAAATCAATTTTACATTTACATGGTGTCCTTAAATAATCTAAAAATCTTAAAAAATCTAATGGGTGTCACCTTAATTGTCATGCAAATGATTACACATGAATCTTATATAATCATAGGTGAGTAGTTATTTTCCAAGCAAATGACTTGGGCCAGTTCACAAAAACCACTCACATAAATTCCACCAATCATATTGCTTAACACTTTGTGAATAAAACGTGGTCAAAAGAGTGGCGGACCTGCTGAGTTCTTACTACGGCGGACTCACAAGGAAAGTTTAAGAGCTTATTCAAGGTAAAATTTTTATATAAACCTTTTTAACCCCATTCCCTCTACCTACATAAGGCTAACCTACCCCTCTGCCTTTATAATTACTGACATTGTCTCTTTATTTAGGATATACATATTTAGGTCTTTATCTTTTTCACGTCGATTAGAGCATTTTATACACCGTATGTACGGACGTAAGGAATCCACACCTGAATGATAACTAGTGTATGTAATTAATACATTTAAAAAGTTATCAAAATTTTATTAAGCATATAGAGAGGTAGGCCTATGTACTATATCTATATGATGCTATAGATGTGACTTTCGACTTCGACCAAAATAGATGGGTAAATACGTTAGACTATCAATTTATATTATTTCTCAAATATTCTTTGTTTCCATTTTTCACTTTATATTTTAAAGATTATTAATTAAGGAGGCATGCTTTCTCGTCTATGCAAGACGGCCATTTTTCATGAACTTGAAATCAACATCGAGGTGTGGTCGCGGTTAAAAATCCCGCCAACACTGGCAAGACAGGCTATACACGACAGTTATGTTGTCAACAGATATCGAGTCTCATCAGAGATGTCTCAGTAGGTCATTGTTCCCTTTGCACTTGCTTAAAATGTGCATGTGTTTTGTTGTTATAATAAAAATGTTTTGTTTTTTCTTGCTAAATGCTTACTCAAGATGCTGTTTAATGGCCAACCAAAAGTCTCACTAATGGGCGGCATAAATGCAGGCGGGAAAAGCAATTAATTCAACGCGATGCTTTATTTAAGGAACCAAAAATTAATGATATCTTTGCAGAGAAAATACAAGCACAACGACAGTGGAGAGTTTGCTGTTGATCTACAGTTAGTAAACAAGGTAATGTATTCGCTTTACATTAATTTAGTATGTTTACACATCTATAGGCTATAATTTGTATGGAAAGCATCTATATAACCACGTCGTGCATTTTCATCTTGTATCTATCTATTCTTACTTATTGTATGCATACAGACAGACAGACAACCTTAAGACACGAGATGGCTCTTTTACTTTGGAAAATATTTTAAATTACGGCAGTCGTAACAATTCTGGCATTGCTCTTACCGCGAACTGTTGATTTTTTTATTCGACACTTAAGTCAAGCCCGTAGCCAGCAATTTCAGAGGGGGGTTCGTTTTCTGAAAAAGTGGACCTTTTAACATAAAATCCCCAAGTACAAAAAAATTTTACCCAGTGGACCTTTTCCCAGCAAAAAGGGTGGTTCTTTCGAACCCCCCGAACCCCCCTGGCTACGGGCCTGTAAGTGGAACTTTTGATGGAAGCCTCTGTAGCAACTTTTTCAAAAATTGGATTTTTACATTGTGTGTAAAGAGCTTGACTTTATGTGGCAGTGTTTTCATAGGCCTATAAACGTTACTGAACAAACGATGGAGAGCGCTGTCTGTTGAGATTAGACTGGTACTTTTTTAAAGTTAGCAGAGTACTTATTAGACTGTGCAATCCCCTGCAGAGTGATAAATGGCACTTATATTAGAGTGTACCATGAACGCAAATTGAACGTCCTTGGGTGTACCCACATTATAACCCGTTCTACCACTTAATACAGTAGTGTAATTTGTCTTTAGGGTGTGTCCCCAGCGATATGCGATATGTGGTACTTCAACTTTAATTATCTTGTTCTTTAAAATTTTTGTCATTAATTTGAATGAATATAAACATTATAAAAAGTGCCATTACATGGACTAGCGTAAACTGTCACTCATAACATGAAATCCATTTTTCAGCCAAATTTTTCCCTAGGGCTTTGATGAAAGTTATTTTTGGAAGACTTTTCAAGGCATGAAATAAAAAAAAAAAAAATACAATTCAAAATTTTTGGCGGAATCTGATCAATCTGTATTTATCTATTTATTTATTTATTTTTGAAAAACTTTTTTATTCTCTTTTTTCCTCAGAATCATGAGTGACAAAAAGGCAGTAATAAAGAATGCCGACATGGCAGAAGATATGCAGCAAGACGCCGTAGATTGTGCCATGCAAGCTCTGGAAAAGTTCAACATCGAGAAGGACATTGCCGCCTACATCAAGAAAGAGTTTGATAAGAAATACAACCCTACTTGGCACGCCATTGTGGGACGTAACTTTGGCAGTTATGTTACACACGAAACCAGGCATTTCATCTACTTCTATCTGGGCCAAGTTGCCATCCTGCTCTTCAAGTCTGGATAGATGGCGCTCTGTACAAACTGTAGGCACACTTTGGTAAAGACTTTTCTGAGTCTTTTGAAAGACGACCATGATGATCGTGAAATAATTTCATTTTAAGTTATAATATAATATGTAATTTGGTTTCTTAATTGACGTTGGGGCAGTGTTAAAATTGACGTATGAGAGCAAAATGAATGCGTCAGTGCATTATGCTATAACTTAACGCTGTCACATTTTGCTCACTCAGGGGTATCAAAAAGCACACATTTGAATATGTAAGTTCGCTTTCAACATGGAGAAGCACCTTTTAGCACATTATTTCATTATGCAATACTTATTTCAATTGCAACCTGTTTTCGACAGATACATCATCTTGGAATGAGGAAATGCTGTTGTTAGGGTATTGGTTTGTGTACTGTTGTAACCACTAGCGCTTGCAAAAATGCTGCTGTTATGTATTAAAAATACATCTGATTAAAAAATTGAATAATATTTTTCATTTTTATATCTTTTATATCCATATTTTTGTAGCATTTTCATAGTTTTATTTTAAAAAATACAACACTTATCACAACACCATGGTGCTCTTTGACCTGCATTCACATACAAATTTTACCATATTGTGTAAAAATTAATCCTATGACTCCCATCTCTATCTTACACAATAATTCTAATCTACAATGTATTCCATAAAGTGAAAAAAAATTATGCAGATGGGATATACGTGTTATCATTTGAATCACAGTAAAAATGGGTATAAAGTAACTGGAGTACAGGTCCAGTGTGAATCAGTATTACAATACCATACGATTAAAGCTGTCAAAAGCATAACCAGTTGAACTGGATCTTGACACATTTTGTTAATAAAGACTCATTCAAATCATGAGCATCATATTGACTTCTGGCGCAGTAGATTCCAGGGCACCATTGGTTACTGATAACATCATTAAAAAAAAAAGGCCCAGAGTTCCTCCAAGAGAAAGGGCACTTATGAACAGATATTAGAACTGGATTCAGTCAAAACTGCTTCATCTCGGTCTATTCTGCAAATTTCACCTTCATTTGCATTGACCTTTTTGAGATATCTTGATGAAAAAAGTAACCTACTCCTGTGGCAGAGGTGAAAAAAAAGGTTTGGAGATGCTGATGTAATGAAGTGACAGTATATAGTCATTCTTTTACTGCAGGGTAAAAGTTACTGCTTCACTGGACAAACAGCACAGTCTCAACAGACAAAATTGCCTTCAATTTCTCAACTGTCACAATCACTTGCTAGTTGCGTCAACTCCCAACTACTTTAGATCTGGGGTTCTTCTGTCATAGATGATACTTTTTGGCTAGCTTTTCAATCTCTTCTTTACTTGCAGTTCCCTGGGATTTCATATACTCAAATAATTCAGCAGTAACTAAAAAAAAAAAAAAAATGAATAAAGAATGGCTTAAAGTTGTTTATTCAGTGAAAGTGTAATTATTGAAATTTTGCTATTGATCTGAAAAAATGTCTTTCAATGCATCAATAAAGGGCATTTTTAGGACAAATGTGGTCTCCCATGCAGAAACGTAAAAATCTGAGTTGAATTGAAAATATGTGACATTTCTTACTGGGATTTAACTTAATAACAGGTGTGAGTGTGCATTTCACTGACAAAAGGCGACAATGAGTACATAGAGATGGCTGAAATCAATGTCGGGTGTGAAACTATAATTCTCTTACCTTTCTTTTCTTTGGGTGACATAAACATTGTTGCCATATCAAATCTCTTTACTTCACTAAGGCCTTTAAGGTGATGGAAAAGATTCAATTCTCTGAGAAAAAAAAAAGAAATCATTACTATCCTAATGTTTTCCTCTTTTAGTTCAATAAATAATACTTAAAAATTTTAAAAGAGGAAATGTAGGGCAAACCACATGATTCATAACTTTTAAGTTTACTCTTTACAATAAACAATCAGAACCGATTAAAATGCAGCAGATGGTTTTAGAAACTGTCACTGAACTTTGACACAAGTTTCATAAAGTCAGACCCAGGGAGCGGTATAAAACAACATCATACTTATTGAAGAATTCTGCAAAAACTGTCAGCATTTTCATCAACATATCTGCCTCCAGTGACTGCCCAAACAGCTGTGGATACTTAGCCGGATCAACTTGCTGAAGATGTGAAAAAACAAGATTTTACATGCAAACTATTCAAAACTGAGCAAAGCTGCATGAATGTAAATACCTTTAACTTACAAACTTTAATTAATACCCTTTCCCTATTTTTCTTTGAAAAAAAGTAATTCTGAAAAGTCACAATCATTACTATTATTAGCTTGAACAAATCATTAAGTGTAAATAAATCTCAATCCCACCTTAATATAATCAAAGAAAGCTGCATTATCATTTTTAAGTCTTTTCCATTCAGCTTGAAACTGAAAGGATGTCAATTTCCCATCCACTGTACTTGGTGTACTGCTGCTTTGAGTAATGTTTTTATTTTGTCTGGGACTTTGTCTCGTTTCCTTTCTAGGACTCAGCTCAGTTGGAGATTTACTCAAGTTGTGCCTGTGTTCAGTATCTTTCAAATCATTCGATTTTAATGAACCATTATGAGATAATACTGATGACTTTTCTTCTTCAAGCCTGGTGGCAGATGTGAATTTTTCAAACAATTTAGCATCTCCTTCCAAAACTTTCCTTTTTCCTTCACTTTGGGTTGCCTGTATACTTGCAATTGATGCTTCAATCTTTCGAGCTTCTTCGTCTGCACCTATCTCTTCAATTTCAATCCTCTTGAGGGGTTTCTAAACAGACATAATTTTTTAACATTTGTAAATATTCATTGGACATCAAAAGATTTGAAATATTTAAAAGCACATTAGAGATAAAAAAAACAAAAACAAAAACAAAAAAAAAAAAAAAAAAAAAAAAAAAAAAAAAAAAAAAAAAAAAAAAAAAAAAAAAAAAAAAAAAAAAACAGCAAGGACACTTTCAAAACGTGTATAAAACTTGGTTAACTTTCTACAGATTATTAAGACCTTGACCCTTACCTTTGACCTCTGACCTGGTGGCTTGTATACAGGTTTCACAGTACCTGGCGTGGCAGCAGATATGGAAGGGGAGGGTTTGGGATTTAAAATCTGAAATGGATATAATTGAATTCTGTATAATTGTCAATCAACGGAGATGTTTTTGCAATCAACTGATTTGACAAAAATAAAACAAATCTTAACTTATACTGCGCAAACACTAAAACATTTAAATGGAATTAATGTAACAGGTTTTCTGCATTTTAAACTGTCAATTGCAAATTATACTTACAGGCTGTATAAACAAGAAAATGTATCTGAAAAATGAAATTCACTGTTAACATGATAATAAATTTATTAAAACCACATCATACCTCCTCTATCTTATTTAATTCTGAAGAAGCTTGCTTGTTGTTAGGTTCTAACTTCAACACTTGCTGGAAGTCATGCTTGGCATCTTGGAGTTTTCCGAGTGCCGTCCTGGCTGTACCCCTCCTATGAAAAGCCTTGATATAGGTGGGGTCTAAAGAAAGTGATGAGGTGCAGTCCACTTCTGCTGCGGCATATCTGGAAATAACAAAAAGAAAATAATGAACACTGGATAGATAACAGTACAGTCACGGGTAAGGCTGCCTACAAGACGATGGCTCTTTTCTTCCCTGGAAGGCATTTTCTCAGAGTAAAATTTGCTGTTATGAAACCCTAAGTTACTGTCAACTTTGAAGACCAAGAACCTGGGAGGTTTGCGTTTTATCTTTGTGAAAAAAGAAATGTATGATGTAGGCTTAAACAGCTTAGGTAATACATTGATCATTTCGCAAAGCAATAAAACTCGACCACGAGGGAAGTTCCATCCATCTTTGCACATCTTTATTTGCAGTGTTATATGTATGTACTGGTGAGTTTATTAAATTAATGAGCCAGAGATACTAGTCAACACATACTTTTCCAACTTGAGCAATGCCATGGCTCTATTAGCAGGCAGAACAGCATTCTCGGGGTCAGCATTCATTCCCATTGTATAGCACTGGACAGCCTCCTCATATTTTCCTTCTTTGAACAGTTGATTTCCCTGGCAGAGGAAAAAATTCTTCTTACATAATATTTAAAAGGATCAGGGATCCAGTTTGAGTATTAAAAGAATTTCAATACCAATTGTTGACTGAAGAAAAAATACTGCTTTATTCTTAATGCATAACATACCTTTTGAAATTTTCTGAGGTTTGATGACTTAATATTCAATATAAATAAATAATACAAAGAATTGCCTTTTCTTTCTCCAAAACAGCCATTTTTCTCTTGCGTTCCATCTCCCACTCCTCATCTGTTTCATATTCAGAAGAAGATGAAGATTTATCGGGACGTGAATCTATCTCCTCCAAGGCTTTATCCTGCAGAAGTAAAAGGAAAGGTTACTAAACAATTTACCACTCCATGCTTCTCAAAGTAATTTGGGTATCCCTCTCAATTACATTAAAGTGATAACAACTCTTCGTTTCGGCCAAAAAATGAATTTTCCTGGAGTAAACAACAATTTTCCCATACTTACCAATGGTTAATGAATCCATTTTTACATTCAAAGTTAGTCCCTGGTTTTTTTCTAAAAAGTTTTTTGTCTCTTAAGAGATTTTAACAGAGTATAGCCATCAATGGAGGTCACGTGGTCTAAAGACAAGCTCAGATATCAGAATAATAGCTATAACAGCCGTTTTTGTGGGAAAACAGAATATATTATATTTTTATGAGCCATTCACAATGTTTTTATTGTGAAATACAGATTTCATATGAAAAGTTATTATCCCTTTAAGTTAAGGCCAGATTAACTAAATTAATCAACATGGAAAAAAAATTGATCTACTACTCTCATGGTAATATGTGCTTAAACCACAGGAAACAATTTTTGACATAAAACACCTTAGTTAAACATATGAAAGCATTAAAGATAAGTTTCATTCATTCAAAAAGAAAAAAAATCTAAATGCAATTTCTGGTTAATTTTTTTTTACTTTTGTTCTTTCCATACAAAATGATAAGCTTTCTCCTCTGTGCACAACCACAAGGTGATTTTCAGTATAAATCTTATGTAAACAAAAGTTGTACAGTACAGAGTACATCATGTTAGTAACATGGTATAACTGTTAACCATTTCACAAATTTTGCTTTTACATTTAGTTATTATTGATGGGGAAATGCCCTAGATCCTTGAAATAGCTGACACAACATCTATCCTTACAACATCAAATTTATCCCAGGCTCTGAAATCATAGCCACTTATTCTGCCACTTTTCTTATCTTCTCCTGTTTTGGTCTCGGTGTCAGCTTTTTTCTTCTTTCTTCGCTTTTTCTTTTTTACCTCTAGACTGTTCCTGACTGGAGGAAGTTTCTGAATAAAATGAGTTTGTCTACATTAAAAATTACATTCATTTAAAGTTAAGGATTGCAAAAGCAATCTTATATGACACACACAGTGGGTTTTAAAATATTAAAATATTGAAATTTTTAATCGTTGTCAGTTTGCAAAATTACTGCCTATGTAGGTACATGTCAGGAAAAATGATGCACTTCTTTCATTCATTTCCATAAAGCAAGCAGCTACAGTAGACAGTACAGTGCGGCATAATTTGCTTTAGATATATTAGCATTTCACAATATCAATACACGACCTTTTGCTTGATAATATGTGCACTTTTCTGAAAGGGGCCACGATAAATAATTAACTCTTCTTTTGCATTTTCTACAAACCTGTTCTTCAACAGGTGCACTCTTCAGTTGCTCCTCTTTCTTTTTTATGTCCGCTTCCCAGGTGTCTAAATCTTTGAGAAAATCGGAAAATTCCAGCTGATTTTCCCTCATTTGTTGCTGCAGCTTAATCATTTTATCCTCATTCATCTTAAATGGTTGTGTTTACGTACTAATAGGTAAAAGCACGAAGTATTTTTTGAATGCTCTCCTCTACCGCCAAGTTTTCATGGGCGCAGACATATTGTTAAGCCTCAAGGCGCATGCGCGAATTGATCGATTTCCGTACTTCCAGTCAAAACAAGTGAGAGAGAGCTGAGACATTTTTGTGCTGTTTCATTTTCGCTTCATCGCGGTGCATTTTGTGTAACATTCTGGTAAGTTACTGTAGCCTGTGCATAATTTCACTAAAAGTTCGTGAAAGGAGCCAAGAAACTATTTTATTATTCATCTGAAGTATCTACACAGCTGCAGACACAGTACACTTTTTTTTTGTTTTCTGCAAGATTGCGTCTTAGGAAGAAATGCCAGAGAAGTTGAGAGAACCCATTTTTTATTTCAGATTTAAATTTATGTTTACAATATTTATGTATATATTACCAATGTTGGATATGAAAATTCCGTATGATAGAGAGAAAATACTTACCTTCCTCTTAACGTCTCGTCTGGATACTAGATCAGGCAGGTCTGTTATGGTATATTTTTGTTACACGTGAAAAGCCACTTTTTATTTTCCCAAGTTGCATGAAACATTCATATTATTTAGTGTGATCCGTGAAGCTCCCCATTTATTATGGATTGTCATCTGTATGTGAAGTGAGATTGAGAACAAGAGTTTATCTCAGTTTAAAGTAACATACGATATGAATTCTAGTCAAATCTTTGTCAATGATCATTACCAAGCATGCATACTGTAGCTTAAAGAAATACTAAGGGGGATTATCTCATATGAAAAAATTAGAACAAATTTTTGAAGATAAAAGTGAAATGTTACTATATGAACACTACTATTGTTTGTTGCACGTGTCTGATTAACTCATAAAACTTCCTCAAAATCTTTTCAGTGCAGCTTTCCCATTATCATAATTGAGTGCTCATTGTAGTAGACTTATAATGCAATCAACGATTATGATATATTCATTGTCACACCATCCATTAAACAGTATCTGAAGAAAAACAAACATATAAAAATCTCTAGGACTAGCTCTTGATATATCTGTGGATTGGTAAATAGATAAATCATTGCTTCAGATAATCCTGCCTACCTACTGTATTATTGCTTATCAAGGCAAGTGGCATTATGATGTACACAGGATGCTAGTTTATAAAATTGCCTAGTATCTGATTAATAAACTACTGTGTTACACTTCTGGATGTGTCTGCTCTTCCTGTAATTTCAGATTGAATGGAGTATGAATGTAATAAACTTCAATTCCCTAGTGTATAAGAATTGATTATGATTATAAATCATACATCACACCTTCCTGTAGACTTACACTGAAATATTCAGGAAAATTTTATGAGATTGTTTTTTTTATTTTTTCTTTTTTGGAAAAGTTTGACATGATTTTAAAGATTTTGGCTTATGTGCATCAAAGTAGATGGATATGGTAATTTAATAAAATTCAAAGTGGTGTCTGTCTGGGCAGTTTTCATTATTGTTGGCCTAAACCTCAGTATATTTGTTTCATTTGGCATTTCTGGCATTCATGTAGTGTAATACTAGTAGTACTTGCCAGTGGCTTTGCCTTGTTGTCTGGGGGCCAGCTCTAGTATGAAGGCATGCCAATTTACTCTATTGTTTGAGGGTCATGAAAATTGAATGGATTTCCAATTCTGTGAGAAATACCCTAAATATAACTAAGTAATATTGTGCAAACAAATATAGATAATCAATTCTAGTTTACTGCAGTAGGCAAGCTCAAATTAAAGGGATAACAACTGTTCATTGCGGTCAAGGATTTTCCTGGGGTAAATGTTGATTTTCCCATGCTTACAATGGCTAATGAATCCATTCCAACATTCAGAGTTAATCAATGTATTTTTGTAATAGTCTCTTAAGATATTATTATAGATATATGGCCATCTATGAAGGCCTTTCTGGTCTGATGGCAAGCACAGATTCCAAAATAACTGCAATTACCACTGTTTTGGTGATAAAATTGAACTTATTATATTTCTTTGAGTTGTTTAAATGCATAAATTTATTGTGAAATATGAATCTCATACAAATAGTTGTCATCCCTTTCAGCCAGTAGATTATGAATGATTCCAAGGAATAGTGCATGTATGATGCTGCCTTCTGTTGCATGTAGACAGATGGTTAACCTCCTTCCTGGTACTAGCTTCCAGCATGGTGCAATTTTTCTTAAATTTCTAGATTTTTTGGAACTGTGATCAAGGCAAACACCTTTGAAGTTTTTTTCAATCCACATGGCAAACTATATGGTCTTTCACATATCAAATTGTTAACCTCGATAGACAGTGAGCAGGAAAAGTAAAAGATTTCATTTTTTTTTCAAAAGCAATTATAATATTTCACTGTGGGTGGTATTTTTATAAGCTGGTTTGATTTGTGTGGATATGATTAATAATGCGAGATTTAATTGGGCTTGTGCCTGTTTGGTCTCTGTTACCCAGGTGAATTGATTATTGAGAAAAGTGGCAGATGGCACAGCACAATGAGCCTGGTGTTATTCATTTATGATGTCTGCCACATCATGCTGATTCTATTATAAATATTTATGTATGTAACAGATAACATACCTGTGTACAGAGAAGATCAATTAGCCACTTTCAAACCTCATTCATTTGCATTGGTAAGATTTAGAGAATGTTGGGAGTCCCAGACTGACTTGCCAGGTTTTTCTAAAGGTTAATTTTCATTTATTGTTGTGAAATAGCTCTTCCTATTAGATGCTTTAAGAAAACCAGTCAGCCAAGGTGGATGATATTTTTGAATTGAATATGATGGAGGAATATTGTTTCCCAGTACTTCATAGAAAGTTTGGAAATGGAGCCAGCCTGATTTCAAAACTTCATTGTTTTGTGTGTTAAGTAACAGTTACTGTAGTGTTTTTTCAAACAAACCAGATAAAATAGGACCAATATTTGAGTGACTTTCTTGTCTTGATGAAATTATATTTGCTGGTTTATGCATTTAACTGTGTACCATAACCATGCATGACCAACATATATTGCACTTTGATTATCCATCAATATATACTGGAAATGATCAGCATTCCTTATTCTTTTTCAGCACCTGCAGAAATAATCTGAAGCACCACTTATCTTGTAAGTAATACATAAAGTGACAGAAGCATACACAAAGAACAAGACGTCAGCATGACAGTGGCTAGAGCTAGGGGGGAGTGCAAGCCTCTACCAGGATGGCTGAGATTCTGCTTCTATGGGATGCATGGTTTCCTGGATGAAATCGTCTTCACCTCCCTCTTTGACTTTTACCACACCAAGGACTGGTCCCTGAAGGGTCACTCGTCCATCTACTCCTTTTTCATCTACGGCCTGTGCAGCTTCCTGGTGGAACATCTGTACAAGTGGCTCTACTACAAACACGGAGTGCCAAGGTACGTGCGCATCCCCATATACATTGCCATAACGTACTCGTGGGAGTTCACCACCGGTTTCATTTTACGCCAGTTCGACGCATGCCCGTGGGATTACACACATTATGATTACGATTTCATGGGTCTGATCACCTTGGAATACGCTCCAGGCTGGTTGCTGCTGGCTTACTGGCAGGATGTGGTCGCAGAGTTTCTTATTAATTTACGCATTTCATGCACGTGTTTCCCTGCTGGCGATGTGGCCTCTGCAGAAGAAATGTCTGGGGAAATTGAGCCTGAGGATAAGCCACAAAAAAGATTGAAATCTCATATTAAATCCAGTGTAAAATCCTCTGGCTAGACATTGGAACCAGTATTACAATGTTCTTCTTGTTGGGCCCAGTGAAATTTTATCACTTTAAATTATCTATTTACATTTTAAACTTGTTGATTTAATGTTGTACACATATTTATTAATTATCTTTCCATAAAGTTTACAACAGGTTTATGTCTATTTAGTGTTTGTCTGTTTTCTTTCAATATACAGGGATGCCATATTCATCAATGAGTGTAGTCCACAATTTTAAAGATCACTGGAATTGCTGTAGTAGTAATTATAATTAGACATAATATTTTCTCTGTATTTCAGCCTGTCTGTTTATATAGTTTTTTGTCAGTTTATTTTTTCGTATATTATGTATCAGTTGTGCAGAAAAAACAAGCCAGAAATATGGAATTCATAATTTTTAAGGTATTTGGTGGAAGGACTTAATTGGAACTGTTTGAGACATCCTAAAATTGTAGTGATATGTTAGAAAAAAATCTGTTAAAATATCGGGTCCAGCAATGTTGTATGGTGTGGAATGTGCAGTCAGTAGTTGATTGGTTTTCAGTACTGTTACACACAGTCAGAATTTTAATCATGTTTTTTATGTGCCATCTTTGACTTAAAGAAAAAGAATTTGGTAATTTTGCATAATAAAAATATGTCATCCATTAACATTCATTCATAATATTTGGTTTAGCAAGTAGCTACTGAAATTGTGCCAAATCAAAATGTTGAGTTATAACAGTGTGCCTAAATGAATGTTTTGATTCAACCAGTTGTTTTAAACTAAGATGAAGGTGGAATTGAATGTGACTCTCATACTGGGTCTTTTGTAATGAAATGAAGGTCATAGCGATCTTAAGTCACAAGGCATTCTTCTGAATAAGCAAAACTGATGTTCATAATGTCACACAGACAACTCAACATGAGTGGTGACATAAGTGAAAACTTGACCTCAGTTTACCCTAAAAAGGTAAAAAATTGTGACCTCTTTTTCAAAACATGAAACATTTTTTTAATCAATCCCATTTCATTCTTTAACTTGGTTTTATGCATGTGTTTGTGTGTGTGTTTTCTTTTATGTGTGTTGTGTGTGTGTGTATATGTCTATATTATAAAATTTGAAGCTTTTTGAAAGCTGATAAATCTTAAATTACAGTGTCATACCCTATATATTACTGTGTAATAATATCAGTGTTGATTTACTACTTGTAATTTTTATACACTGAAAAACAGATAGACCCCCTTTGTAATCAGATTCAATGGCAATATAAGGAATAGGCATAACATACTTAGTAGTAAGAATGATCGTAAATTGTTAAACTTAACAAGTAGTTGTAAGTTTACCATTAATGGAGTCTTTTAAGGAAAACTTCAGTAGACTTAATTATTTCTCATGGTGATATTTCTTTTTTTATTCAATACAATGAAAATCTCATTCCATAAAGTTACCTGTATACGTTTTCACATTTTTTTGTATTTTTTTTCTCAATTTATTTTACATATATTTAGAGTTATATTTCCTCAAGGTACATATCCCTTAGTGGTTTCTTTAAAATAAAAACATTTCATTGGATGAATATTAACTGATTTTTAATTGTATGCATATATTTAATATATTTAATTGTATGCATAAATTGTTATCATCATGTTTTTTTGAAAAAAGCATTTTACTCTGCAGGATTATTGAATTTCATAATGCTTGACATGTGATAAGACCTCGAGTCTACTTAATTAGTATTTAAAGCTGTCATAATAAGAAAGGCTCTTAGCGTCAGGGTGATATAGCATGTAAGTTACACCTCACTTTTTTCTGCTACTGTAATATGACATTGTGCTGTAGATAATGTGCACTATATGCAGCAGATGAATGCTTTGTATTTGACAGTCAAGTGTGGTGCACATGTGCTAAAACTCTGCACAGTTTCAAAATATGGTCTTCAGGCAAGGTGCACAACTACAATAGATTTTTTTTTTTTGGAAAGCCTACCAGTCCAATGTCACTTATAATTTTGAATTTTCATATACATCTACGAGAAGAACAATTTAATAAATTACATTTGTCAGTTAGGTGTAGACTGACATGAAATGTCATTGCGTGTTCATGAGCAATAACTAGACTTGGCTGGATGACAAAAATCTGGTTTTTGGGGAATAACATTAAAACCTATAAGGAAATCGTGATTGAAATTGTGGGATTATTTTATACCACAGCAAACGCTAGCTCTTTCAATTATCACAGAAAGGATCCTTTGTGCAAAACAATGCCCTTACATATCTGATCAAATAAAACCTTACGTGTATGATATTTGAAAGGTTGAAATTACCAATAAAAACAGTTTTTTTTTCGTTCCCTTACATTCTCTGCTACAGTGCATGAACTGCTATTTAATTGCCATCTTCAGCTGAATCCAGACAATCTTGGCATTCTTGGGTGTACTTAACACATTGTCAAGTAGCAGGGCCTTATATATTATTTACGTGTACTGGGTATGCTGAGAGAAATATTTCAGTTCTAGTTACAGAGGCTGTTTGCTCTCTGCCATGACGGCTCATACAGTATGTCCATGCAGGTTCTTTAGAATCAATATCAGATATGGCTGACCTTATGTTTTTTGTAGACCAACGAAAAGATGTTTTTATTGGTAATTTTTAATAAGTGGCAGGATTTCTAATGATTTCCTGAATTTTGGTATATATGAAGTGTTTTAGAATATATATGCAAACATGACAGTATTCAAGAGTTCTGTTGTTATAAAATATTATAAATTCTTATAAACATACAGCATTATTTGATATGTGATCTTAGTTGTTTTAAAATGTCTATCAATATAAATGTGTTTAAATATATAATTATCCATTTGTTTGATTTTGTCTTTGTGTTAGCTATTGTTTTACCTTTTTTCCCAATCAATGCAAGACTTTTCGGTCAAATTTGTATTTGTTGATCTGATCTGTGGCCAAGTGAATGCAATAAATGATTTTAAAAAATAATTTCTCAAATATGTTGTTTCTTATATGGATAACTTGAAATTATATATGGATACAGAAAGAATACTTCAGGTGAAGGGCACATTGGTAAGACAAATGACTGGATGTACATGTACCCAGGTTTTGAATGTACTGTGTGCCTTAGGCCGCATTCAGAACAGTGGACTAACGTACTAGTCCGCAAGTCGAGTATGGCAACCCACTGAAGAGCTTGCCATCTAATCCGATCACAACGTAGTGTACAACTCTTCTTGTTTAGTCTCCAAATCAATAACAGCTCTGTTTATTGTTTACTACTTAGTAAATATTCAGTGTGCCTGCATGATCCTCAGCTTGTGTTGACAAAAACAGGAAAAGCCACAAGCCACAGTTTTGTGGCTCGGGCTGGTTATCAGCAAGTTGCATAATTTGTGTAACTTGTCTTACATTTGTGTGTAACGGAAGATTAGCCTACTGAAAAATCCAGGAACTGACAAAAATTAATTTAAAATGAATTACAATTGTTGGATATATTGGCAAATATAATCAATGAGGCATATGATTTCAAAGACAACATCGCTGTTTCAGTGCATTCAAAGGTACTTGTACATGCATTAAAGTTTGCTTTAATGATATATTTGAATAAGATTTCTCCTGATTTGTTTTCAGTTTTGTCTTCCATTTGGATCTGTGTCATCCAACTGATGATTGATTGAATTAGAGCATTTATGTAAGACAGCAATTTGATGCTGCCCTATCTCACCATACATGAAGAGATAATACACATAGTCCTGGGCTTTTGTTTAATCCAGATATTCGTGTTATTTTACAAAAAAAAAAAAAAAAAAATTCTTAGGGAGCACTGGAAAAAGAGATTCAAATTCTCACACAATATGTCAACATTGACAATTGCCCTGGCTATTCTCTCGAATGCCCTACGTACCCTCTTCTGACACGCACGCACACGCACACGCACACGCACACACACACACACACACACGCAAAGAACTCTTCCTTTTCTTAAAATGAACTGTTTCTTAATGCCTTAATGCTTTGGAAATTTACACCTCTTTTTTATCTTAAAATAACACCAACACCTTGGAAAATGAAATGGCATGCTGGACACTCTATGTGCAAGTGACATGAGCTCCAACATTTTTCCTATGCCAAAGATTTCTCCAGGAAACTACTAATTGTCACCGTAGTCATGTGACAGGCAGTGCGGAATGTCCACAAGCACCCTGCCCCACATCTGATGTAATTGGAAAGTCATAACTAGTCCACCATGTGGGTTAAGGGATGGTTTCTCTGTCTTCTTGCCACTTTGACCCCAGTACGAACCCAATCGTCCGTCCTATTAAACACTGCCATATGATTCATTAGACCTATGTTCTGTATTTTCATGCTGTTTGTCACATGCCAATGGTGGCAATTGGTCCATAAACAAATAGGTTAAGAGTCCAGTATATGGGATATAATTTTCCATTCCTTAATTGACGTTTTTAAAATACTACAACAGAATGGATTTAAATATACACTGATTATATAACTTGATTTTAATAGATACACGTAAAAACTAGACTTATTTTTTTAAATAAAGTGAAAGAATTGTTCGACTAGCTTAGGTGTAGTTTTAAATATTGAAAAAAAGCTCTTTATGTGTGAGAAAGTCCAAAATAAGGTTATGAAGTGAGGACATGTGATCTAGAAGACCCAGAGGTTCTTGTGGTTAGGGTTTTCTTACACCCGCTGTTCTGGCCGTTAACCACAGATAAGACATGGGACATGATTCAGAAATTCAGAAAAAAACTGCAAAAGATGCACAAGTTGGTTTAAGTGTGCACTTAGACACATTTTATAGTTTAATTTGCAGTCGGATAAAGAACCAAAGAGAAAGAAAGTTCAACTTCACAAGTACAGGTGAGAGGTGATTTATAGAAATATTTTTTTAATTTTTTAAAAAGTTTTTAGTCTTAAATAAGATACCAGCAGTAAAATAAAATTAATTAATTTATGTAAAAGTAAATCTGATTATAAATAGCCAACTTAATGTCACTTTACAATGACAAATAAGAAATAGCAATTGCCCATTTCGTTATAGTCTGTTTTCGCATGTTTAAAATAATGATGCCCAAATCTATTATGGATCATTTAGCTGATTTATGTATTTTTCAATTTTTCAATGTACATTAGACTTCTATGTATGATATATTATATAAAAAAGAATACTAGAATTTTCAGAAAGTTTTTTTTTTATTCCAAGTCTTATCAAAAACTGTTTACCAGTAGAAAGTGATGATCTATAGATCCGTCTTAAGCGTCTTAATTTTTCATTTTAACCGTAATGATTATGAATGAAATTCAGCAGTTGCTATCTCCATGAATACAAGAGTAGCTCGGAAATTAAAAACAAAATACAGTTTACCTTAGTGATAAAGGGAAAGTGTTAACATTTCCAGGAAAATTAAATGTTAGATGTATAAAGGGGTTTATAAAGACTTAATAAGAGGCTTGAACAGATTGAAACATTTTGCAGATGGATATGTTGCAGCTGTGCTTTGTTGCTGTTCTTATCAAAGGAGTTTCAGGATTTTGTAAGTAAAAATATTAAGAAGGGAGATGTCTAAGAGGCCTACAGTTATTTTATTAAAATAACGACATGCATTTAATTAAAATAAAATACATCAAAGAGTTTACTGTTGTGATTTGGATGATACAAAGAAGTTTAAGTGCTTCACTGATTAGAATATGTTTTAATCAATTATCTGGATTTTTGATGTAATTAGCATGCTATCAGTGTGATGTAAACTTATCTATAAAGTTATATATTAATCATAAAAGTTGAAACTCATTTACACTGTATCATAATTATGTCTACACTGAATGAATGAAGCATGTTTACTTTTTTCTGTGTATTTGAGAAATTTAAAAGTTTTAAAAAGATGCATCTTCCTTATCCATTATTAACATAAGGGCCCTAAGGCCCCATATTTTAACACATTCGTGACGTGGCTATGTTACAAATTATGCTCGCTTTCCCCTTCACACACATTCAATGACATACTAAAAGGACCACGTATTCTGGAAAAAGATGTTGACTGTATTAATTTGATAAGATTAAAATTATGTTTATTTGATAATTTGGTAATACCTATACTAACCATGCTCCCTTTGGGACCTTGAAGAGCATTGATACTCATCCCAGCCCCATCACCCCACACATGTATAATAGAATAACAAATTATTAACAGAGATTTATCTTTTTTTTTTTTTTTTGTTACTTAAGTAACTTATTTGTTAATTTAGTAATACCTGTGAATCATACATCCCCGCCACACTGATAGAGCATCCCCTCCAACCCCACCCATACCCAACCACCCCACACGTTTACACAGTTCTAACTGAGTGTTATCATATTTATATGTTAATTTTAAATTAGTAATACCTGTGAACCATACATCCCCACCAGACCTGATAGAGCAGGCAGAGCAGCTGGTGTACTTTGAGGCTGGTCAGCCACTGGAAGTGCCTTGTTATGCAGAGGGAAGACCACAACCTAGGTATTATGGCTGGCAGTGTGGTTAAATGAGAATTGTAACTCTAAGGCTGCGTTCACATGAAAAATCTATTTTCTAAAAATCTAAAAATCTATTTGCGGTATCTTGAGATCACAGTCTGTGCCCTGAATACCCCGCGGCATGATTACTGGCAGCGCCGAGAATAAATTACAGCTTTGGAAGTAACTGGCTCATGCTGCCCGTAATTATGCCGTGGGGTATTCAGGGCACAGACCGTGATCACAAGATACCGCAAATAGATTTTTAGAAAATAAATTTTTCATGTGAACGCAGCCTAAATGTGGCCCCATAGACACTCAGGCAAGATTAGTGAGAAGTGGTTGCCTTTGATGTAACAGCAAAAAGTAGAAATAACTTTTTTGTCTCGTTTTACAACTGAATACTTTGTTTTGACTGATGCACTGTCACTGAGCACCACTTGATTCAACCAGTGCTGGTACTTTAATATCATTTTTTTTTAGTTACTGTTACACATTATGGACAATGATCCTACTTATAAAGTTGTGAATGAAATATCATGATGATGATATGAAAGTTTCAGTTGCCACAATTCTTAGAAGTTTAATATATTAATATATTCTATATTAATTAATTTATTTATTGATTAATTGTTTGTTTGTTTGTTTTAATATTTATTATTTATTTACTATAGTAGCTTCCATAATTAAAATTATAGGCATATATTTATAATGAAAGTATAATTAACTATACATACTGAACCATGCCTACAATGTGCTTTTCTGTAGAGCGATTAATTCTAGTGCCTTTCAAGCAGACCTTTTTACCTTGAAATCCTATGTGCCTTATAGTACCAGAAGGGTGGTTCTTTTGACCTCCTCTCCCTTCTCCCCCTCCAAACAAAATGTCTATGGGCTTGCATTTGGTGATTTTAAACTGATTCAGATACACTTGGAGCAAAGGTGTAGAACTGTTTGAGCCAGACGAAGAAGACAATGTGACCATGGTCAGTGGGAGAGGTACCCTGAGGTTTCAGCACCCTGATGGTACCATAGAGGGGGTCTACCAGTGCAGGATTTCCAATGGAGAGGGCCCAATTGCATGGAGCCATTTTATTAAGCTTGTCCAAGGTAATTTTGTTACAAATAATTGCTGCTGCAGCTACTTTCTAATTTAGCACCTTAGGTGTCAATTAAATTACTAAATAGGCAATGGAGGTTTTATTCATCAGCACTAGTGCTGTACCACTAAGGGAGCATTCACATCGAAAAGAGCATCCCAAGCCGAGATTTAATAGTGTGCCCCTGCAGGGACGACGCACTGGGAGACGTGTGAAAGGCAGAGAGACCATTAATGGATTAAGCAGTCTTCCTTTCAAGTAGCTAGGTCCACCATATTTAGGTCGCGGCCTTATTAGACCTCAGCTCTCAGCTCTGTGAATGCTCCCTGAGATGAGCTATTATACAAGGTGATCTTTGGAGTATAATATATCACTCTGGATTTCCTCTCCCTGTAATCCTGCATGTTCCTCTCAGTTGATGAAGATAGTGAAGATTTATTGGAGAACTGTCTTGTAGATTAAATGCATAGTTTGTAATTAAGATTTGATCATTATAATAATCATGAACCTTATAATGTGGATGTTCTGACATACTTTGTCTATACAGGGGTATATAGACAAGTATATGGTTAAGTATTAAATAATAATTTTTCTCCTTTCTTGGTCTGATCAAATCATTTGTACATAGTTTATAAGCAATTTTCCAAAATTTCATTAGATATAAAACCAGTTTCTAATTCGTAACTGATATCTAATCAGCATCAGCACCATCATTTTCACTGTCATCATCATCATTATAGCTTATATTGTGGAGCCAACCACCACTTTTGAGGAGCAAGCCTCTTCTGGGGACACTATATCAAATAATGTGGACGTTGGAGATTCTCTCATATTGGACTGTGCCGTTCCTCCCTGCGTGCCACCCCCCAAGATAACATGGATGATAGGGAATGATGGGTTACCACCTCGCCCTGTACAACTGGGAGAAAGGGTTGCTGTAGATGATCATGGTAACAACCAGTTTTGATCTTTAACCTTCAACAACTTCCCTCTCTATCTCTCTCTCTCTCTCTCTCTCTCTCACTCACACACACACACACACACACACACACACACACACACACTCTCAGCCAGAGGTTCTCTGCTGAAATACCTGCTACCATAGAAGGGGTCTACCAGTGCAGGATTTCCAATGGAGAGGGCCCAATTGCATGGAGCCACTTTATTAAGCTTGTCCAAGGTAATTTACAAATAATTGCTTCTACAATCACCAGGCTTGTTCTCAAACACGTTAATGAAGCCTGTGCAGTGCTGCTGTTTACCGTTATGAACAGAGTGGGAAAAAGTTGGCTTGATTTTGAATATAAATCAAAATTTAGGATTTCGGTTATGATACAGATTATAGTACAGGTGACTAAGTTCATTTCCAGGCCGACTTATCTTCACCAACGTACAGCCCACTGATGCACAAGATGGCAACTTGTATTTCTGTGCCGTGGAAAATCCATTTCTCAAGAAGTCTGTCCATGGTGAAGGTCAAACTATATTTCCTCGTGGAGACATCAGTGAGTTTTAGATCACATTATTTTCAAAACTGACTTTATGAATTTTGTGAATTGTTTTGTAAAATTAATTGATGTATTATGATCATATTATCTTACATATGATGATACATTTTTTGAATATATTGTTGCATGGTATGTGGCGCATTTTAAACATTTTTTTTGTTTTAAGATTCTTGAGTTTCTTTTAAAGGGATAACAGCTCCACAAATTCTTCAATAAATGCATTGTAAACAACACATAGAAATATAATAAATTCAATTTGTCCACCTACATGGTGGTTATGGCAGTTAGTCTGTAATCTGTGCTTGCCATCAGATGCCTGTACCTTCATAGATGGCTACCCTCCATAGTTATCTCTTAAGGGATTATTGCATTTATAACTTTGAATGTCAGAACAGATTCATTAAACATTGGTAAGTAAGGGGAAATCATCGTTTACCTAAGGAAAATCCATTTTTCCTGCCAAAATGAAGGATTTATATCAACATCTTTAACCTTCAGGTACTCAAATTAAGGTGATTTTTTCTCGACTTTCAGGTGTCGCTCCCAGGACACCACCATCCATACTTTGGAGCCCAGCACAACACATTGTGGTGCTCCAGAATGAAACTGTTAGGGCCAAGTGTGTCTTTAAGGGAAAGTAAGTGAATTCTGTCTAGTAAATTGAAGGTTATATATATATAATCAGATTTTAAAGGTCAGGTTTAGTGAGAATATCAATAATATTAAGGAAACACAGTTTTTGCTACAGTTCTTGTATACTGAAGTGTTAAATATATACCAGTTTGAGTTGGCAGCCAAAAATAGCATTTTTGAGTTGGCAGCCAAAAATAGCATTGGCCTAGGCAGCCCCCAGTCTCATTATTATTATGATCATCATCATCATACACCAGTGTTGGTAGATCACAGGCCCGTAGCCAGGGGGGTAGGGGGGTTAGAAAAAAACACCCTTTTTGCTGGGAAAAGGTCCACTCTGGGTAAAATTTGATCTATGTACTTGAAGATTTTATGGTAAAAGGTCCACTTTTTCAGAAAACGAACCCCCCCCCCCCCCCTCTGAAATTGCTGGCTACGGGCCTGGATTATATAATTGGAAATAATTTTAATTTTTTTATTATGAATAAAGCCCCACCCCACGTATTACCTGGAGCATACTTCGCGGTGACCGCCCCCTACCTGATAGAGCATCCATTGAAAGCGGAAGTACAGAACTGGTGATTGATAATGTGCAGTTTGAAGATGGTGGACAATACAAATGCTTTGCCCAAAATTCAGAAGGAAGCGCACATAAATCATTTGTTTTATCTGTGGAAGGTATGTGTTTGTTGGTCTCCATTTTTTCTTAATAGACCAATCAGTTGTATTGGTAAGAAGCCACTAAATTTGAATTTGATTGTAATTGCACCATAAGGGTGTGCCAAGTTGACAAAAATTTTATTTCCAAGATATTATATTTTATTATACTTTATTTAGCTAAGCCGGAGTGGATAGCAAAGCCAGAGAACCAACGTGCATCAGAAGGCGACAACGTGACATTTGTGTGTGAAGCAAGTGGAAAGCCTCTGCCAACAGTAGAATGGTTCATCAATGGATTACCCCTCAGTGGTAGGGAATAGTATAGTTTTTAATTATTCATTGTCTGTTTAAGGAAAAAAACAGAGAAGGAGAGCATTTTTAGAGGATTTTTTTTTTTAGAATCAAAAATAAGCAATTTAAAACAGGGGTGGATTGAGGATGTCTTCTCGGTCTTCCGGAAGATGGTAAAATTTTCAAGTTTACATTGACTGGTATCTAATTCTTTCTGTCAGAAGATGGTCAAAAATGGAGAATGGATCAACAAAGATAATTTGGAAGACAGTCAGAAAATATCTCTGGATCCACCCCTGTAAAAGATTTATGTAAATTCACATAATTGTTTGCATTGTACAGAGTACATGTATAACAGTGGGATACTAAAGTCATGGGGATTAGAATTATGAAGTTTGTCTTCCTCGGTCCTCCTTGATTCCTTATTCTGTTACTTCATGTGTCTCTCTTCTTTGTAAAGACAAGCAGATATAGCTACTGTATGTCTAAAATAAATCTCATTCCTTGGCTTCTGCTGTGCTAGATTATAGTGGCCGTTATGAAGACCTGGTTAAAATATTTTTCTTTGGGTTGGGGAGAGGGGAGACTTGAGGGTGTAATTTTTTAACGTATAACATAAAAGATAAACACATTTTCCATTAAATAATGAGACATTTTCAATTCAGAGACAATATTCAGAAACAATTTTTTGAATAAAAATTTCTTCAGATATGCGTTCTCATCCAAGAAGAATTGTTACTGACACCAGTTTGACCTTCCTCAATGTGGTCCCCTCTGACACAGCCGTGGTCCAGTGCAATGTATCCAATATTCATGGGTATATGTATCAGAATGCATATCTCAATGTGCTCAGTAAGTATGGTGAAAAAAAATTAGCTTTCCAGGAAAAAGATAACATTAAATTTTTGTTACAAATTCATCTTGCCAGGAAAAAAGACACTTTTTGAAACAAAATTCTATGACAGTGTGCACAGGCTTCAATCACACCACTAGGTACTGTGATTGAACATCTTTTGGTGGTTTGTGTATTTTGTAGCAAAACCTAAAGTGTGTTGAAATTTAAGATTAAAGAGCTATTTGGTATTTTAGGTATTTGTGAGATTTTTTTTGAGAAATGTGAAATAACAAATATGGGTATATAGAAATTTCTTAATCTTTAAAATTACTCATACTTCTGTATTTAGGAATTCCACCAACATTTACCTCAAGGCTTCCGTCAGCTCTCACTGTGATGGAGGGGAGCGCAGTGAAGATTGCCTGTGGTGTGTATGGTGCCCCGAAACCCAATGTGACCTGGTTGTTCAAGTCCAAGATTGTGCCTCTGGACAATGAGGACCCATTGACTGGGTCTTTGTATCACATTAGAGCGAATAACACACTAGTTATCAGGGTGAGGCAGGTGCATGCACACACACACACACACACACACACACACACACATCAGACATACATATTTAGTCACAATTCTGGTAAGACCAATTACATTTTCTGATACAAAAACATTCCACATGTTGTCACAGCAAACTTCATGGCTAACACATTTATTTGCTTGCTTAATTAAATTTAATATTTTATTACATAAAGATGACAATGTCCAATTTTATATGTTACTGTGACTATAACTTTTAGTTTCCACCATTAACCATTTTGCCAGATTGATTGGATAGTTATTACAGAAATAAATAACAACATGTTTGCACCCCTCTTCTGTTTGGTAAAAAAAAAAAATACATAAAATGATTTATTTGCAGCATGTTAACCAGGAAGATACTGGTGTGTACCAATGCATAGCTGTGAACACTTATGGTGAACTTCGGTCTTCTGGGAATCTCACTGTGTTAAGTAAGTAAGAAATAAGGCATAAAAATGTATAACATACACATGTGTCGTAAGTAAGATATATTGACTCATTTCAGAATTTCCCACTGGACTATATATGCATTTATAGTCATTATATTTTCCTTGCATTCTTTTATTTATCGAAGTCTCCAGTTTTATAACGGGCCTCATCCGTAATTTAAGGTACAGGTATCGTTATATACAAATAATTTAAGGTGGAATTTTAAATACAGATGCTGTAAATATCTATTCTGATCACTGTATACATAGCTATATTATGTTTATTTTTCTCCATAATTTAGCTGCAACTCGTGCAGTAGAAGGTCTTCAGAGGTACCAAGTAGTGAAGGAGGCGGGATCCACCATAGAACTCAAAGGTGCAGTCTCAGTTGATTCATCTTTACGGTCAAGTCTGACCTATAGGTAAGCTTGTTGGTTTTTAAATTTCTGTCACAAAATAAGAAACTCTTTTTCATTTTGGTATCTAACAGCCCTTTTGTTGGTACATGTAATTTGTAAATGAAAGATGTCTGTAAGAAAAATAAAAGTTAAAGGCATTTTTAATATTCATTTATGTTATTTTATTTCATCTTATTTTTTTTACTAGATGGTACAAAAATGGCCAGCTAATACAAGTAGACAACAGTCCCCACTATACTCTGTATAGTAATGGTTCCCTCTTCATCAGCTCTACACTAGTTGGTGATAGTGGATCATACACGTGCAACGCCAGCACCAGCAGAGACTTTGTCATAATTTCTGCGAGAGTTATTATACAAGGTGCTTGTTAATGTGGAGTGGTGAGCTGAAAAAAAAAAGGATTGATGTTTATGGACATTGCTCTGTACTTATGGCAGTAATTCATGGATAGTAATTATAAGCTTTCTCACACAAGTCAGTGTGAGCTAACAAAATGATTTATCCTAAATGCAATTACGTACACCTCTCACAATAAACCCAACTCATGTACATTATCATATTTAATTATGCGTTTTTAGTTTAATGCAGTTTTCTTAATATTATAATTATAATGAATCCAATATTTTCACAATTGTCAAAAATTTATTATATAAAATTTATATTGATATTCATGTTCAATTTAACATTCAATTTTGGTGGTTAATTCAGGTCCTCCAGATCCCCCACAGAGGGTCAGAGTTCATCAGCTCTCCAGCAGGCTGGTCAGAATTAGCTGGGACGCTAGTAACGACAATAATGCTTTAGTCAAACGGTTCACCATAGATCAGCGGTCCGTTTCCTTGGCAACCAATGCCTCCGTCAGCACCATCAGGTACACCATTAATGGAACAAAACTCTGGGAAAATCTAGAGGTCAGACCATGGCGGAATTACACGTACAAAGTGGTGGCTTGGAATAGTATCGGTCAAAGTGAGCCGAGTCTGGAGACCGTGAACTCTACTCTCACTGTACCTCCTGATGTGCCAGAGAGACATCCTGGTGGAGTGACACTGGAGGACAGAGACCCAAATGTGCTGTATATATCATGGGAGGTAGGTTAATCTCTGAAATCTAAAGTAACTGTTACAGTATTAACTATAAGGGACAACTCCCAGACCCTATTGTACTAACTGTGGACCCATCTCCTAGGAGATTCTCGCAAAATTTCAATCAACTTAAGCAGCTTAGATGTCGGTCACACCTCCGGCTGCTGCTAAGGGGTAATTAATTATCGTTTAGCAGCTTCAGTAGGTGTGCCAGACATCTATGCAGCTTAACCTGAAACCAATTTAGGGAGAAACCCTTGAAGATGGATGTGGCTCTTACAGTGGTGCTAATTAAAAATTATATATATATATATATTGCTTCTTTATCAAATACTTTATGAAATGTGGATTACCTATAGTTAAAAGTACAATTATCCTAAATGTTGTAGCCACTGTCCTCCAATGAAGCCAATGGACCAGGTTTCTACTATCTGGTGCGCTATTGGCGTACTGACCTGCGTACCCCTGTCATAGAGGAGAGAAGAGTCACTGGAGTGCTGGCCAATCATGTTCAAGTCAATGTGGACAATGTCCATCCTTATAAGGTGCAAGTTTTGGCTGGGAATGATGTGGGTGTGGCCCGACATTCAGTGAGGAATGCCACTGGATACTCTGGAAGTGGAGGTGAGAAAGAAGTGTCAATGTTCATGCTAGGAGTGGCAGTGCTGTGTGTAGTAGTTGGGATATAAAATAGATGTGACAAGGGGATCATCATGAATGTGCCATTTATGGTTATCAAATCTGTTGGTATCCCAAACTTATTTCAAAATTGAAATTAAAACATTTTACAAAGAAATCATTAATTTAAAAATGGCTTCAAGAAGACCCTGCACTCTTTGAGAAGGCCCAAAACACCTTTCTAATCCCTGAATATATCCATTACTTTCCAGTTCCCACTGTCACCCCGAATGGACTAAGAGTGGAATCTTTCACAAGGTTTCCTAACACTCCCCAGCCAGAAGAAGACCAGCAGCAAGTGGTGCTGAAATGGCATGGAGTGGATATCCATTCTCAGGGCATCAAAGGAAAATTTAATGGATATGTGGTATACACAGGATATGAAAAAAAAATTTTTTTTTGGGGGGGGGGGGGGGGGGTGGACACCCTTCTGTATGTAGCATTTACCCCTTAGGGATGTTCTTTGCATGTGGGGAGCTTCAAGTTTCTGTGAATTTCTAAACATTAAATAAAAGAAAGAATTTTTCAGATATACACATTAAATCATCAATTAAAAAACAGCAGTTTAAGTTGATTTTGAGAAATTATGATTTTGATTCTTTTTTTTCAAAAAAAAAAAAATCTTTTCATTTTTTTTATTTTGTGTCCAGATTCGCTACTGGAGGGAAGGAGAGCCAGAGTCTAGTGCTAAAGTCATCCATATACCGGTCAGTGGAAATGGCAGTTTACGCAGAGGGCTGGTCAGTACGGAGAATGGCCTCAGAGTGACCGTCATGGACACACGGCATGAACATCAAACTTCTGAGGCTGGAGGGTAATTAATAGTTTATATCATTATGGCCATATAGTTATAAGCTGAGGTGGATGCATCAGAGCATTATTTTGTGTCAGTTTCCCCATATTTTACCATTTTTTAGAGATACAAATTTCAGGACCCAGCAGGGGAGATATTTATCCATTTACCTTGTTACTTAAAATTAAAAACCGGACCTTTAGACAGGCTGTCATTATAACAAAACGGGAATTAATGACAGAAGACCTTTTTCTCTAATTTAATTTTTTCCAGCATGTAGATTTTTGCCCTTGGCTTTAAGGATTTGAACTGAAAATTTGATTGAAAATTATTCAAATTTTGTCGATCCTGCTAACTGTTGGGCAAAGTGTAACTATTAATAGTTTAAATGTTTTGTATCGAATTTTATATTTACCACATATCATGACAGAAGTTTATTGTGCTGAAATATGTTATTTGCTTGCTGTACAGGGCATCGTATGATAGCAATGTGCATGTGACAGTACAAGGTCTTCCACCATATACCAGACTCCACACACAGGTGGCTGTGAGGAATACCAAACATACAGGACCAGCAAGCCCAACTGTCACATTCACCACTCCTGAGTCAGGTATTTGAACCCTCTTCCCTACCACTCTCTGCTCTGAAGTTTACAAATCAATTTTGAGTTTTGTTTTTATATTGAAATTATTGAGAGAATGCTGCATTGAGCCTTGTATATGAGAGATCGAGCTTTTACAGCCCTGTAGACAGGGGTCACACAGGAGGTAATATAATAATGTGCTTATGTAAATGTCTGTGCTGAATCAAAATTTGATTTAGTTTCTATTTTATTAGTGTTAAACTGATTGCATTGAGCAAGAGTCCCCGTGGAGTTAGATCAATCTTTGCAGAACGATTGTTTCATCTACTCCATCTTATTTTGGGAACATGTACACATTTATTCAAAGTCTGCAGGATACATAAGGTAACTAGAAAAGCACTCTGAGAGTGCAGACCTCCGCCAAGGCAGCAATTTATTATTATTATTATTATTGATTGATTATTGATCCGGATCACCACCAAAAACTAATCTTCTGTTCCTTTTCCCACTTCTGACAGTTCCTGAAAGTTTCATCAAAATCGGCCCATAACGTTTTGAGTTATGTTGATGACAGGCAAACAAACAGACAAACAGGGGAGAAAACATAACCTCCTTGGCAGAGGTAATTAATGAACAACAGACATAGTTTGACTGAAAAGTGATGGAGATACTTCTTAAGATTTTTCATCTTTTTCTACACAGCTCCAGGTCCTGTCAGAGATCTCACAGTGCAACGACTGGGGCCAGTCATCACCGAATTCACTTTCCTACCTCCTAGAGAAAAGAATGGCATCCTCAGGAACTTCTCAGTGGAAATAGAAAAAGGTGTTTACTTTCAATTTCCAGATTATGTTTACCACTAATTTGTCTTTATTAAAATGAACATATTATAGCAAATGATTATGATTATATATAGACAGGCAGAGGTTAAATTCAATAAAACCTGAAAATTGAACAAAAAAATCATAGGCACTGAGCAAGAAAAAATTATAAATATATACTAACAGATGATGAGATGTTTTACACGCACTGCATGTCACATACTGTCTCTGTACTTGTCATGTCTTCATAGGCATTACATTGAGAGCAAAAAAAAAAAAAAAAAAAAACTAAATAGAAGCAACTTTTCTGAATTTGTTCTTTTCTGTTTGAAATGTCCCTTACCGACAAAATAGGCCTCCGGCAACGGTTGCGGGAGTACTCCCGCAACATGTTGCCGGAGTACTCCGGGGGTACCCCATTTTATCATGCAAATTAGTGTTGCTGGAGTACTCCCGCAAACCTCCGGCAACATTTATGGGGATACTCCGGCAACACTCATTTGCATGATAAAATGGGGTACTCCCGGAGTACTCCCGCAACATGTTGTGGGGATACTCCCGCAACACTCATTTGCATGATAAAATGGGGTACTCCCGGAGTACTCCCGCAACATGTTGTGGGGATACTCCGGCAACACTCATTTGCATGATAAAATGGGGTACTCCGGGAGTACTCCCGCAACATGTTGTGGGGATACTCCCGCAACACTCATTTGCATGATAAAATGAAATACTCCCAGAGTACTCCCACAACATATGTTATGGGGGTACTGGCAGTATGTTACAGCTAGCTACTTTACAGATCCAAAAACCAATGTAAATACAATTAGATTGATCAATCAAGGACAATTTAAGTAACATCTTAGTTCTTGGACCTTCACAAGTTCAGTGCTTAGAAGCTCTTTATTTGTACCAAAGCAAAACAACTGTCATGACAAAAATGACACAACTAAGTTGTAACACTTTTCAGAAATATGTTTTTACACCATGCACAACTCAAACAATCAACTTGTAAGTCTTGAACACAAAATAAATTTTAGTTCATAGTGTATTACATAAGCGAACAATACATGTATGCATAAACCAATTTACATGACTCTTTGGATGAATAAATAAATTAATAAATGATCAGAAAACAAATTTGAAAATGCACTACTGGCATAATATAGCCAATATCCAAATATATACCGATATATTTAATTACAAAACATTGTTTCCCTTAAAAATGTTTAAAAGATCTAAAACAGTATTTGTCATTTGATATATGCTAATTAAACAACACAGTTATAGTGCTGCTAGACCTTCATTATGTACTGAAACTGATCCTAAAAACTGAAAAAAAGTCTGCAAAATGAATTAACTTAGAAATGGAAAATGTTGATACATGCAAACAGATCAATGCAAAAAATTGAAATTTTTAAGTTTTTCAAAAAACATGGAATTAATCTTGTTCTCAGAAGTTTGTGAGATGGGTTAATTTAATTATAATCCTAGCTAGCTTCTTCACCCAGTGGTTTAGGTATGTTAAATGTATGTATAAATATATATTTTAATTTACATGACTCATTTATACAGGATTAAATATGTATGAACAATGCTATCTAAGTACTATAAGCAAGATACATAAAATTCAATTTCTTTGTTTACTATAGTTTCAATCAAATTTATAAAAGAAAAACTCATTGAGAAAGAAAAACAAAATTTGCCCTAAAATATAAAATATATCCAATTAACATAAGGCAAATAAAAGCTGCTGATCCCTATGCATCTATATGTACTGACTCACTTTTTACCATGGGGAAAATTGTCAATTTAACTGATAGCTAGTGCTTCATCAAGCCGTACATTCTTAAAATTGCCACTTTCCTGCTACATACATGTGTATATATACGTACCATTTAAATGCATGATAGCCATATGCTATAGCTGTATATTTGATTCTGATTCCATATACATATTTTGTTAGTTATAGTTGATTTCCATTCTAATGACTCATTTCTTAGAACTTCTTGTCCATTTGTCAGTAAAGAACAGCTCAAATCTCACAACAGAACAGTCCAATTCTTCATATTCTTCATCTTGTAGCTGTTCATGAAAGCTTAGATATACATGTACCTAAATTCTCAAATGTACTTTGTCAAGTTTCTCGATGTCTTACCACTTCTAGATTCAAAGACATTTCATCACCAGTTTGTTGTTAACACATACAAATAAATTAAATGTTGAAATACTTTGGATGATACCTTATTTTCCTGACTTTGTGGATTGTTCTTTGCAAATAAAACTAGCAGACGACCATTTTTGATGAAATGGAACTACTTTTCACAGGAAGTAGTGTATTCATACACAACAGTACATGTGACCTTGGGTATGGAATACAAAAAAATAGTACATGCTTCATACTGTCACAGCATGCAAATTATAATGAAATATACAAAACTAAACACATTTTATGTAACACAAAAAGTTAAATGCATTTTTATTTATTTATATTATTATTATTATTATACTGGATAAAAATGTTGATGAAATGGTTTTGACCACCTTTTTGGAACTTTTAAACGTACTGCATGCTGATGGACCCACATATATACACACACTAAACATAGATGAGAAAGAATATATCACCATGAACATATATAACTTATATATATATATATATATATATATATATATATATATATATATATATATATAAGTAATGCCTAATATGTATGCACTACAGGTTCAATTCCAAATGTTATTCTTAAAAACCATATAAATAAAAACAATTCTTAGAATGCTTGAAAGTGAAAATTTCTGAGTATGATTTATTTCAAACAGAACGACTTCATGGCTGTTGACACTTCTGGATAGTTCGATTATATAGCCAAAATAAACCATAAAGCATCCTGCTATAGGAATAAATAAACATCAACTGCTGTCATATCATACATAATACAAGAAAAGTGTACGTCTACATGCAAATGTACAGTGTGTATATGTTGCCAGAGTGTAGCCGCTAGTGGCTAGCTTCCGGCAACCCTGCGGCTTACCTCCGGCAACATGCTCTATATGTAGCCGCAGATAAGCTGCTAGCGGCTACCTTGTGGCAACATACAAGGCATGTTGCCAGAATGTAGCCGCTAGCAGCTAGGTTCTGGCAACCCTGCGGCTTACCTCCGGCAACATGCAGCCTGTGGGGATGCTTTCCGGCAACATTTTTATGTTGCCGGAGTACTCCTGCTATACTCCGGGAGTACTCCGGCAACATTTTACGTTCTGTAAGGGGTATTAATAGAAAACTAAAGTGTTTCATGTGCTTTATTTCCACCCAGTGAGGATACTGAACATGCTTAATGATACAGCTTGTATTCTTCTGATGAATTTCCCTTATAACCAGGATGGCATTTCATTAATATATAACAATTTGAAACATACAACAATCAAATTTTTCTTTAAATTTTCATTTTCAAAATGTGTTCAAATCAATCAGACTGAGTTTTTTTTTCACAGTAATAAATGGAGATCCAGTGAGACCATCAAACATTCTGCATGTAGCGGTGGACAATACGACTGCCCACAGCCGCTCCCTCCTGACCATAGGCGCCTTAGAGCCCCAGACAACATACAGGATTACAGTGAGGGCCGTCACCAGGGCCGGGGCTGGGGAGGGGAGTCATGTGACCATAACTACGCCAGAAATGGGCCGTAAGTTGATGCCATGTTTTAAACTTCGGTTGGCTTTTAGGTTGTAGATAATTAAATTTCATCTTCTTCTTAATCTTCTAACATATTAAACAAAAACAGAAACTGCATCAAAACTGGCCAACAGAGCCCATTTCTGATACAGTTTCTGTTATTCCATGACATTAAGCTTATTTATCAAGCACACATTTAACATACATAAACTCTGTTTGGATTTATGTGTTTGCATGATTACAGTACTTTAGGTGTACACGATTTGATAGGCATTTGAAAATGAAAGATTTTATAAATGTTACAGTACTATGAATTATCCAATCGTTTTGATGCTACTCTACATGTGGTTAGATTGCACACTATATGACATGTTATATGCTGGGTTTGACAGTTATCTAAGGTGTGTCTGAATTTTTTTTAAGGAATAAGCAAGTCATATGTATTTAAATTTCACGTTGTGACTCAAGTGTGATACAGTATATTAGATATACTTTGTAAATACTTTTAGACACTAAGACCCCATTCCCACAGATTTTAGATCGATCTATCCCTGTGGGGAGTCTCACTAGATTACTGTCAGTTTAGCCAGCTTAAGCATCTGTCCCGCCTACTAAAAGCAGTAAGTGGGTAATTAACTACCATGCGTGCTCAGCTGACAGCAATTTAGCGTGAACCCCCAGGGAGTTAGGTCTATCTAGATGGATCGATCTAAATCTATGGGAATGCAGTCTAAGATTTGATAGGTGAATTTCAATAATAGACATTGTGTTATATGTGACATTCATTGTGGTACATATTATTTCACAGCCCCAGGTGTTCCACTTGTTGAGGTAGAACTGCATACATTGACTAGTTTCAATGTGTCATGGATCTCTGCCTATAACCCAGGAACTTATTTCTTTGTGCAATATAGACTCACAGGTACGTACCTCATTACATCAGGTTATATGCATGTATGCACATGCATTGTAATACACTCTTGCTGTATTCTTGCATGCTTATATTACAGTACGTATTTCTAAACATGATAATTTGCACAAACACAAACAGGATAATTTAGGCAATTATATGAAAATTTAGAATGGCCAATTCTATTTGAATTAAATGCTTGTCTTATGAATTTGATCTAATTTAAATTCATAAAGGACAATTATTTTTTAGCATGGTATTACCTAGAGTTACAAAATGATTTGATATTTAAGGGTTTTTTGACAAATGAGTTAGTTTGCTTTCAGGGGTGGGAAATTGGACATCTGTTAGTGTAGACACCAGACCTTCTTGGCATATTGTGCATGGACTGCACCCTGGTGGTCATTATGAAGTGCGAGTGGCTGCGTCCTATGGGCGTGACTATGTGTCCTATAGCAGGGTTGTCACCATGACTGTACCTGGAACCAGGAAAAGTAAGATGCCCTAATGTGTTTGGTGTGACAAAGGTGATGTGCTAGATATGCTGAATGCATGGTGCAACTGTAACAATGGCAGGTGCAAAGGGGGAGGGGGGGGAGCACTCCCTTCTCTCTACCCAAAAACAGTATAACAAGTAAAAAAATACAAAAGCAGAAGTTTTCCCATTCCTGTCTCTTACATATCATTATGGTTTTAAGGATAGGAATTATTTTATACTTTCTTATAGCAAAGTAAGACAATTTTTTCATCAATCTGAACATTGGTCGCCATGCCAATCATGAGCTATTAACCAGCTGACCTACCCATTCAATACATGTGTGACATAGATTGTCAAAAGTACAATTTTCTCCTGTATTAAAAATTATTAATAGTAGATCCCAGTTAAGACAAAGAGTCTGTTTATGAACAGCTAGGGACCTAGATGAATAGTTTGTGACTTTTATGTGATGCTTGTGGCCGCTAATTTTATGTCTATGCCATGATGTCATGGTTTGAGTCTTTATGATATTTGGAGTTTGCAATCACAAATCCATGGCTCAAAATCACAAACGGCAATATTCGTTCATGAGGAAAGTGAAGGTTGTGTGAGGTTTGCTGATAATGTGTTAGGTGTGCTGAAGATTGTGTTGGGTATGTTGAGCTTGTGGTAATGTGCTAAAAACTTGACAGTCATATTAATCTTGGAAGCCCATATTTTTATTTACGCGAATTCTGAAATTTGTTGCTTTAAAGTACATTTACAAAGGATTTGAAGGTTTTTTAGGTGTGCTGAGATATATAATTATGAATAGCATGAAGTATATTGTTTCAATATTATAATATACTGAACATATCAATTCTCTATACAGTTAATTGACCTCACATATGTTTTATTAATAAGTTGTAGCAGTAATATAGATCATTGATGAAAAACACACATGCTAGTTGTCTAAAGCGTTCTTTCATGATTTGAACTAATTGATATAACAGACAGATGCAAAGGCTGCACTGTGTTTTAAGCTACTGAAATAGTGTGACCATGTTTTTTCTTCAGAGACTTCGTTTCAAGTGACCAGTGGGTTAACATCATTCAACCTAAGCCTCAAACTGGATACGAAAATGGCACATGTCACACCTTTCTATGTGCAGTATAAGAAAGTGGGTAAGTTATACAGTGTTACAGTATTTGTTTACCAAAAATGTATACACGTCTGTAGGCGGCCAAATTAATAAATCTGCAGAACTTTTATTCAGATCATACTAACTTATGTACATTTAGTTGATTTCTTGTCTACGAGAAAATTTACATAATGATTTTAAATATTAGAATGTCAACTTATATCAGTGTATCACCTCTGTGGGCCATCAGTTTCAGTTAAACTCACCTTGAGACAAAAATGTAATTCATGTTTTTTTTTTTTTTGTTATCTTCCTAACCTGATCACATTATTTGGTTGAAACAGTAAGTAATGAGTCTTCAACATTTTGGAAAAAATTTAATTATAAAAATGTATAGTATAAAGTTTTCTTAGGCCACTAAATTTACACATTCTGGTCCAAACAAAATTTTACTGACCCTGAGCATAGGGCAGTATGACTGTTCGATGTTAAAAGGCCCGAAGACTTGCCCTGAAAGCTCCTTGTCTCTCATTTTTTCTCTGCTTTGATAGGTGCTTCTACCTGGAGTAGGACTGATACTGAGACGAGGAAACCATGGGTGGTTGTGCAGGGTCTAGAGTCGGGGAAGCAATACGATGTGCGTGTTGTAGATATTACCCCGAGTCCACAGCGTGCTGTCAAGATGGTCCTTCCACGTAAGATCATCTTCACACTTTCATTGGAAATAAAATTTGGAATAAACTATTGAAATAAGATGTTTATTTTGAATATATTGGCTTTTTTATCAATGGAATTATTTTTCTTTTTGATATCATGCAGCTCAGGTAATTCATATATGTGATTATGAAATTCACATATCAGAAATATAAAGGGTAAAAGGTTTTTATTCTTAACATATTTTAGTCTCCAAATGTATTTGTTTAAGAAAAGATTGTACATTTAAAATTTAAAATCAATTTTTGATATGACAGCAAGAGAATTTGTTTAGCCTTCAGTGCAATGAAAGTTGCTGATTTGTGCAACTGCAATATAAATGAATCCTGACTTTTTTTATTCAAAATGACTTGATTTCTATGTCTTTTCAGCTGAAGAATCTATAACAAAACCAGGCATTGGTCTCTGGTTCATCATCTTGATGGCTATACTCCTGCTTGCTCTCCTAATTTTATTCATTGTTTGTCTTGTGAGAAGAAACAGAGGGAACAAATACTATGGTGAGTCAGATAGTGAAAGATAAGATTTTTTTCAGGTTGAATTAATTTGGAAATGCAACTGTTTCTTGAATGTTTTCTGTATGTCTTAAGGGGTCCCCAAACCCCCATCTGACTATTTCTTCCTATTTTTGCAGTCAATTTGGTACAGTGCTTCTTAGTCTATTGTAGACTATGACATTAGAATGAAGACAAACAGTTGAAAGTGAAACTAATATCACATATATTAATGTGTATGTAAATGTTAGTTATGTCAGTGCATTCTTAATTCATCACAATACAGTGACTGTGATTTAATTGGTTTTTTTCAGTGGCAGAAAATGAGAAGTGGAGAGTGGCAGCAGGTGCCCCTGCAGATTACCCCAGCTTTCAGGAGTATGATAAGGGGTAGGTGGCATCTCTGTGTGTTGAAGCACTTTCAGAATGTTGTACGAGTTAAAAGTTTTCTTTGAGGAGATGCCCTAAATTGTGCTTAAAAAATAGACTTATCCATTAGAGAAATCATTGTTGTTAACCAGTTTTTGCAAGCTTAATGCATTGTCTTTAAATTAATTAACAAATGAGAACCTATTTGACCATTTTATCGACTGTGCAAAGCACTGGAAAGTGTCTCATATCTCAGAATTAAACCTTTTTAAAATGAACCTAGTGGGGCACTTTTAAATGATCCATTTTTGACCAAGAAAACATATGCTTTCAGAGCTGTTGATCCATCTTATCCAGTGGTGATGGATGAACTGGATGAGGCTGACAGTTTTTTTGGAACAGATGACTTTTGGGACATGGACACGTAAGAATACATGACATAGATTATATCCTAGTCTTTATTAATTTTGTACTTTGTAATGAAAATATTCAATTTGGTACTTGCATGTTAAATAATATTATGTCAATGCTGAAAGCAAATGGAATAATTATCTTACTTCCCACTTACATTTTTTATAGTAACAGTCTGTTTTATAACATAGATCTGCTGTATTTACTTTTTTGTGCCAGAGGGTATAATAACACATGATATAAAATCAATTACAATTCAGCATAACAATTATGTTAAACAAACTTCTAAATGTCTGTAGGTACAGGGAAGATGGATCATTTATTGGTCAGTACATAAAAAATTTTATTTAATAATTTCAAAAGTACAATTTTATGGAAAAAAACACTTGAATTTTTAGGTACAGGGAAGATGGATCCTTCATTGGTCAGTACACCACTCAGTACACTGCCAAACAGGACTTGACCACCACCACCACCACCTATACGTCCAGCTACAGCCATCCTGTCCAATATGAACAGACCACTAGTGGACAGTCAGAGCTGGCTCCTCTCACTGAGAATGCTGAAGCCAGTTCCATGGGCTCCGATGACATACAGCTCCAGTGTTTGACTATCAAACAGGTGTAAGGACTGTCTTGAATATACTGACATCTACATGTTTAGTTACTGTGGGTACCATTCTCACATTCAATTTGACAAAATATGTCGAGAGCTTCAAAAGTCTGCAAAATTTAATGCATTTGTATGAATAGCTTTTGTGGTTTGAGGAAAGTTAATTCACCAAATATAGTGATTATTCTGTCAACACTTACAGTAAAAGGCCAGTGTAGACATAGATATTATAAGTAAGTATGCTAAACAATCTCTCTCTATATCTTAATTACCTCTGTATTACAATATGAATACACTTTAGGTCATTTTTATAAACAAACCCCCTGTAAATGTAATTCCTTGCGAAAAATTTTTTGATAGCAAAATTGTAAAAAAGTTAAATATTGATGTTTCGAGTTCTTTTTTTTGAGGGATTAGTTTTTTTATATCCAGCACATGAAGCAGGGCACTGGGCAGGGGCTTCCTTTGGAAAATGTCAAATTAGTAAGATAATAATCTTTTCTATTTGATTTTATTTTAGATTTATTTCTAGACAATAATTACAGAAAAGAGAAACCCCAACATTAGCTTTCATATATGTTTATTTTTTAAAATTTTAGTCTCTGTGGCCCTGAGCACCACACAACTAGGTATTATTTTATTTAGTATATTCAAGAAGTTTCTTTTACAGCTGATTTTTATAGTTCATGGGAGCCTTCTTATCAAAAATAAGACATTTCTTATAACTGAAAAGCTTGAGTTTACCCTTTTTGATCACCTGACCCATCTTATTGCTCTTATTTGCCATATTATTTCATCTGATTAGGATTTTTTAAAAATTTAACACATTTGTTTAAATTCAAGTTCTCAATTTTTTTTATACAAGTCTTTTGCTTTAAGTAATTCAAAATGATATTGTATACAGGAATGTCATGCAGCTTCATACATATATATTGTAGAATAAAATGTGAACAAAACAAATATTATTATTTAAAAAGTTTAATTCTTGAAACATATTTTACAGTTTACAACTATGTACTAAAATACAGAACATACAAATTCAGTAACTGGTGTTTGTTGTATTTCTCCAAAGCAGAAAGTTGATGATAATTTACAGAATGATACTTTCTTAACCTTGTCTTATTGCTTTACATTAAATTATCATGTTTATAGAATAATGAACTCAATGGGGATTTTTGTATAAAGTAACACAATTATTGGTAATAATAAAATATTGACCATAGGCATTTGCACATTGTTTTTAAAACTACTACTATTTACCACAACTATCTGTTGTAACATGCTGCTATGGACATGACAACACAACATATTATCATATTTTACATTGATCATTTCTTTCCACAAAATACATTAGCCGTAGAACCAACTAATGTTGGCAAACAATTGACAACTAAATCCATTCCCCTGTTCTGATTTAAACCTCAGAAACTTTTTTCACAGCTTGCATATCAACACAGCTGTCTCTCGCATGAACTTGTACCATTCATGACATCTCTTACACCAACAATGCCTGGGGTTTTAACATTGCCCAGATTGATGACAGTGACAATAGAGAACATAAATTCACGTTCTAATGAATCTTTCGTATCATTTGCCTTGCAGACTTTCCAAACAACACCCTAAGCGAGGGCACTGGCAACCTTCATTCTTTCTGGCAGGTCTGCCAATTTAATTCCCCTATCAAATCACTGCTTCATCATAAAATAATTCTGCCCATGAACGTAGCCAGTAACTGCATGTACCACTCTTTTGGCAGTGATATCTTACAGAGACAAAAGTAGACCTTTAAAAAGAAAATTCTGGCAAAAGTAAGAGTGGAAGGCACATAACTCTATTGGGATTCCTGGGACATGAATTCAAAACTCAAATATCCAGATGGTTTTCAATTCTATATTTATGACAAGCAGTTTGTTTTGATTGAAAACTTTCTTGATAGGGCTCAAATGGTACTTTGGCTGGCCAGTCTTGAATGTGAACTTACTGGTGCCTTGAGATGTACTATTCATCCATCTGTGGTAGCCAAAAGGCCTGGCAAAAAAATAAATAAATAAATGAATAATAATAATAATAAAACATTGTAATATAGTTGAAAGTGAGAAAATTGAAAATCTAGGGAGGATATAGGCAATCTGTTAAACAATTATACTAACTGTAGTATACAACAAGGAAAATATAAAGTTCAAATGAACTTGTTACATATAAGATAGTGTTACCATACATGTATAACAACATTTCTCATTCCAAATTAAAGTATTCTGTAGATAGAATCCACCAGTCCTTTATCTAAACTGTACTAAAAGCACATACACACAAACACTGCCTAGAGAGCTTACGATGAACTCAATGCATTATGGGACAATGAAGGCAAAATACCCCACCACTTACCATATTTATACAAGCACTGGAAAGCATCATAAACCGTGGGTTAAACTGGATACACTGCACTGGCCCCGTGTGCTCAGCGTTGAGGACACAGACTTTGCTGCCTGTCTCTGCATTCCAACAGTGAATCTTACCATCTGTTGAGCCTGAACATTATAGCAATAAAATTTGTTTAAAGCCAAAAGTCTGTTGATAAAAAATCTAGAAAATAAATGATGAATACTTCTAACAACAAACATCCAGTTTATTTATTTTTTTTTGTATGTGTGTGTATGTGAAAAAAAGGAATGCTAATTGTTAAATGTGCCATGCTCTTATCAAATTCTGTTTCAGATTCCTTCATGTATGAACCTGACAATGTATGGTCATTAAAAACTGTATTCTGGATAAAAAAAGAAGATTCACTCCACCACTCTCCAAAAAAGGTATTTATCAATATATAAAAATTATTAACAAGACAATAATTCCATGTTTGATGACAAGCTGAAAATCACAATACCAGAAAGTGTTATCTACAAAATGGACTGAATGAAAGATCCTTTACAATACTGTACTAGACTTACCACTGAACACAAACTGGGAGTCTGGGCTAAAGGAAGCCTCCAAAGGTAACCCCTTCTGATTTGTGTGGCCCTGAAAACGTCAGAACTAAAAGTTAATGAAAAGGCAACGAGTTTTTTCCCCTCAATAAACACAATTATTTAAAATTTTTCCTTATTTCAGAAATTTCCAAACTTTTGAAAATCCTGTCAAAATCCATCTGGCATGACTTTTTTTGATGCAGGCTGTTTCCCAACCAACCTGTCAGCTATCTAACAAATGCAAAAAAACATGACCTCCTTGGCAGAGTAAACAATAAAAAAATTAAACCAGTAACTCACCATGAAGGTCTGCAGAGGATGGCCCTGGAAGGCATCTATTAGCCGTATCACCTGGCCATTGGTGGAGATTAGCACCATCTTTCCATCAGGGCTAAACTTTAGCCCAGTCCAGTCACAGTCCCGGTCTTGCTGCAGCTTGAACGTAGCAAATGGACCCTGTAAGACACAGATATGTCATTGGCCAAATTTGAAATGGCGAAATAATAATGCCTCATATGTGTGATCTCTCCAACTGTTATTTTACTTACTAGACCTTTCAGCTGATTAACTCAAATGTGGCATAAACAGGCCTAATTCGAAGAAAAGACTTTCTGTGAGCCACTGGTGTTCGTAAGTCCAATTCTGGATTTCTAACATCTATGGCAAATTTGGCACTGGAAGTCTATATTGGCACCAATGGACATGCTCAAAGTACAGATAACTTCTGTACATGAATCAAGCTTACTGTTAACCTGTTCAAAGTCAAACTCCTTCCTTACTGTCAATGACATAAACTTAACCAGCATACTGATGACTGGATTATATTTTTATTAATAAATTGACATCACCTTATCAAAAGACCTCAGATCGTACAATTTGACCATCTCAGAGTTGATGCCTGCTGCAAAGATTAAACCCTCTGGATCGAATGCTGCTACGGGTCTGCCAGGTACATGCATCAGTCCCTGAAGAAAAAAATTATCTGTAAGATTAAAAATGTTACTTGATATACAGCCAATCTTTTTCTCTCTAAAGTGATACTATGTTTCGTTATTACATTCAATATATTTTTATTCTTTTTATCATACAGCATGTTGTGCAATATCAAAAATATATTTTTCATTTCTCACATTAACTGTTAGTAACACCAGCTGAGCAACACACAGTGATATGCCATCAACATACTAGTATAACTATTAAGCTTGATAGAAACAGAAAGTAGGTGATATCAAAAACTATTTGACATGTACTTAGCTACACGTTTAGTGTAGATAAAAATACTGCCGACTTGTGTTGCAGTTACACATACTAATAAATAAATAAATAAATAAATAAATAAATAAATAAATAAATAAATGAGTTACCTGGCAGTTTGGTGACCTGAGATCCCACAGTCTAATGGTCTTGTCTAACGACCCAGACAAAAATGTGTCATCTACTGGAGACATACTAATAGTTACCACCCTGGAAACAAAATAATATGAATATGTATGTTATTAGCATGTTGTGCAACACACAAAGTATATTTTCGGACCTAATATTTTTTACCAACTTAAGTTACACATAATGATATGCTTATTAAATAAAAATTATGATATTCCGCTGACTAAAGATTTTGACAAAATTTAACCAGGTACTGGAGATACACTAAATTATACAACCTATATGCAATACAACCCTGAAAAAAAATTCTTAAAATTGAATTGTTTTTACCTTGCACTCTTTAGACAACTATCAGTTTTCCCTTGCAGTTGTAATCTTACAGAAAATTCAGAATGAGATTTGTTAACTTGAAAAGGAGGCCCAGACATAATGTACTTACTTTTTGGTGTGTCCTGGAAAGTACCGGATGTATTTGTTGTCATGTAATGACAGATATCTAATTGTGTCTGAAGAATAAACAAAATAAGTTGAATGGTACAAACATGCACTAGTATTAGAATAGAAATCATTACACTTTTCAAGAAGGAAATGATCATATGATGACTTTTCTTTGCTTTTATGGTACAGATATCGTGTTTACATCAGAATGTGAAGTTTTGGGCTGTTTTGGAAGTAGACTGTTAAAAATCTTTTAACTGCATTAAAAATGGGAGGTCTCCTGTGCATAAACTACACCCAAACATTGCACTTAAAAAAGCCATACACAAAGCATTTTTACACATTATAACAGGTTTGATAATCTCTTCTTCATAAAAAATCTAAGTATTTGACAGGGATTTCTCAAAATGAACTCACCATCCACTTTTGTAGAACTGTGTATAGCTGTGTTTGGGGCATGTGTAAAATGAATCAGATCAACTCCATACTTCTTGCTGTTTAAAGTTCTTTTTGGTCTGAAAAAGTAAAAAATTCATACAAAATATGCTATTTAAAGTAAACAATTAAATACTTTTATTGGTAAATCACGGAAAGGAGAGATCTACACCTGAACATGCAAGTTACTTAAATATAAAAGGGGGCATTGGGCATGTACTGGACGTCAGAGAGACACAGAAAAAGAGGCAGACCTAGGACTACATGGAGGAGGACTGTCGAAGCAGAGTTAAAACAACTGGGAGAAAGCTGGAGGACAATCCAACAATTGGCTAGAGACAGAGAGCAGCGGAGGATCTTTGTTGGAGCCCTAGATGCCCAATGGCATAAAAAGAGATGGTAGTAGTAGGCAACTGGATTCCTTTAGGATATTGATGAATAAAGGAATATCCCAATACACCCAAGCCTAATCAAACAAAAAAGTGTTAGAGCTATAGAACATAAATTTAAATGGGTTGCGAACTTGCGAGGTCTACAAAAAGTTAATAACTGATGGGATTACAGTCATTTTTATCATGATTGTTATTTTCTGTTCGTTAGTTTGAAATGGTATGGAAAAAGAGACCATCAGCAGCATCACACCACTGTATAAATGGTTGAACTTTTAATAAAGCCAGAGAAAATGTCAACTTTCTGTCATAAACATGTGTTTTCTGTATAGGGGCCAGGGCTAGGGCACTGGAGGAGAGCGTTAGGGAGCAAGAATTCCCTTCTCTCAACTCGAGTAAAAAAAAAAAAGAGATGATAATCGGCTTGCTTCTTGGGTATATAATATATGGTATGGGTTTCCAATTAGTTTTCTGTGCTTCCATGGAGTCCAATTGGCGGGCGACGGGTTTTTGCTTTCCTGAATAACTTCTGCTGAATGGTGAGCGAGACACCAGGATTGCACTGGAGGGTACTAAGTCGAAGATTCGTGCCGTGGACAAAAACTCGACAAGAACTTACGTTCCATTTTGGCAATCATAAATCACAATCTGATCGTCTTCACTGCTTGAAATTAAGAGTTCGCCATTTGCTGAAAAGTCTAAGCTATTAACTTTTTCTGAATTTTCTCGAAATACTTTTGCAACGCGGAAACTCCGCACGACTGTATCGGTTAGCTTCATGCCTTTTTTTGTTTTTTGCCGACCGGCGCGAGCCGACACACAGACAGAATTTGCTGCGGAGGTAATTTGTGAGCTGACTATTCTTTTATAAAATACTAATTAAAGAATTAGAATACTCACAGTTTTACAATTTTATTGTTATTTTTATGTATTTTTTGTGTGTTTTTATATTTAATAAATATAAAACAGAAAAAATAATTTTATGTGTCACGTTTCCTCGTAAAAGTGGGTCAAGCACATCAACCCAGCTGATGAAAACACGAGAAGCAGTGCTTAATATTGCAGGATTTTAATTCACTGCTAATAACGACAAGGTACTATTTCTATAAAACAAGTGACAATTTTCCGTTAGCAGATTCCTGGCTCTAAGCGCCAAACACATAAAAAATATATTTAGTTCTGCTAAAAGATAATGTGTAAACTGTAAAACATTTTAATTTTATTAAAGAGATGTTAATTTCAGAAGGGGGCATATTAAATAGTAAAATGTCCATCACACATGTACATTCCCTAATATGCTGTGATGGTATGATAAGCTTTCTTTCAGGTTGCACTGATGAAGGAGGAGATACGCAAAATCAGTCATCTGCACATGCTGAATACAAATAAAAAATGCTGCTACTTGTAGCAGCTGTGAAGTATAGCTCACAGCTTCTGGTGGACATGAGCACAAGTGTGGCCCTACTGAGAACCCAGAGACTTTGGATTCGGAATGAATTCATAGCTAGGTAAATAATCAGAGGTAATCAAGTTGAGGGAACAACGATCTGAAGAATTAGACATTTGATTGCATGGTTTCATATAGTTAAAAAAAAAAAAAACAGTACCGGTAGTTGGAAATTTTCCGAGACTGACAACAAAGTTTATTTCTGGATTCAATTTAAAACCTCTGAAATCCAAAAGGTGCTTGAGAAAACTTAAATTACCTAGCCTAGCAGATAAAATATTGTCACTTTGAGAGTTGATATAATTGAACTTTATAAAATTTTAGCAAATAATATGACAGTGATGTATCGAGTTTATGAAGATGAGCAATCAGTACCATCAAGAGGGCATACACTAGCACTACAAAAGATCAGATCTTCAAATAGTATCAGAAACAATGTTTTCTTAGTCAGAACCACGGTTACTTGGACCAGTCTACCTGCTAGTATAAATGTTTTGACAGCACCATCAGTTAACAGTTTCAAAAACAGATTTGATAGGCTTTGGATTAGAAAGACTTACCTCTTTCATATAACATTGAAGAATCCCCCACGCCAGGTACATAGCTAAAATAACATTTCATAGAACAAAAGAAACAAACAGCAAATGTGCTTGGATGATCATGAGCCATTTGTTGATCATCATATTTTGCTTATAGGTACAGGGTGCGTATCTGTCCCTTAATTAAATTTGTAAATATAGTGTCTGTGCATACAGAATATTTCCAACACCTGAATATATGTGCCTGCTCCAAGAGTAAGAACCAGTGCCTTGTGCATTTCTGATTACCACAATGAATGGAAAGAAATATAGCCATTATGATTCAAACTTACAATAGTAAAAATGCCAGCCAAGTTTGAAACTGAACATGAACAGATTAAGCCTTATTAAAATTTATTTTCAAATAATGGTGACCAAAAGGTATTTTGATAAAACAGTTAAAACCAAAAAGAAGATGTGCTTTACTTGTGACCCAGCTGTGCCTGAAGACCTAAAATACAGGTCTAGTTTGAAAAAAGACATGATCTACTTATTATTTCGATTTTTTTTTCAATAATTTTAACAATCTTTAATTTTTTGTGTGTACAGTAGAAATCTGAGATTGTCCTGATTGTCAGAGTTTCAAAGTTTGTTTGAATTTTGTCTTGTTTAAATATTATTATCAGGACATATGTGATAAAACAGAATATATATGAACTGTGATGTATTGAATTTCTCAATTTAAAATTGTAAACCTCGTGGTTTGCAAAATTTGCAAAACTCTGTACAGGAGGGTTTGGATAGGCCAAGGACATATAACCGTCCTTGGATAGACCAAAGGTTATTAAATTGGCCTTGTGCAACAGTACAGTGCCCTACATACTTTAAAACACTCTTTGAACAGCAGAGAGCTCTACGAGATCAGTGTAGGATTTAGGAGAAAATTAATAGTCGCTTTATCAAGATTGGTAAATAGGGAAATATTTACTGTATTTATATTGAGAAATGGAGTTGATAACTGTGAGATGCGTTAATTTTTGCAATTTAATCAAAGGCGCTCGGGACTGTTAGATAGGCATTTTATTTTCGTACACTCCTCAGGTATACTGTGGCGGGTCAAAGGTTATCAATAGAAGCATGAAGAGATTAGTACCCAGTATTTCCCACTTACCAAGTTCTGGGAGAAATTTCTTGTCACTATTTCTCATCTCCTTTTTATGTATGGAGACAATGTGTTTATATGTCAGTACATGAAGCCATCACCCTCTCGTCATGCACTGTTTAATGTTAACAACACTTAAAATACAGGTCTGGTTTGCTAAATAAAAAAACAGGTGTAGTTTAGATGTAAATGATAGTAAATGAACCTTTTTGAAAGTTCCTAAGCTTCTTTTATTTTCTTGAAAGAAATTCATTCTGTTTCAATTGCTCTAAATCCCCATAGAGTTAGATGGATCCAGCTAGTACACTGGGTTTATCTGAATTCCCCCTCAGAACCTGGTGGCGGAAAAATTGTGTAATTTTAGCATCAGAGGGTATAGTTAATTATTGTGAAAATAAAATTAATTGGCCTTGTCAAGTGCAGTAAGCTCTGATTTTTGTGCACAATGGCCTGGCTTTCGCCAGTAACTTTAAAGCAATGAATCTCTCTAAATAGATTGCGGAACATGGATGGTTATACTGGAGATGCAACTTTTAATGTGAAAAGGCATCTATTCCACCAATCCTACAAGTCCTAATCCTACAAGTGCTACATTACGTAACAATCTACCTTCTTATTGTGCTTAAACAATATTGTTTTTAATTACTAGCTCAGAATATCATTATTTCAGAGCCATGACTTCAAGAACCTCTGGAACAGGAACTACCTCATACTCCAACAGTCAAGATGTGTTGAAGAAAGACTCCCTGAAGATCTTTAAAAAAGCTGTGAAATCTGTTCTTCCTCAAAATATGGTGCAGAACACACTTAAAGTTGATGAAAGGACACTTTGGGTTAGTGAATGTAAACTCAACAGTATTAAAATGGAAACAAATTTCATCCAGTATGACCTGAATATAAAGATAAGATATGATTATTTTTTCTGTTGAGTTCTGTTGGACATAATATATATAATCACAACATATTTGCTTTGCATTTTATTTATATTCAGTTTACATTTTATTTTCTTATCATTTGTCCACATGAAGCAAACAACCTAAATCAAACCCTGTGATTGTATAAAGCCTAATAAATCTGTCTGGCTTTTCTTCCATGATTAGGTAGATGGCAATGAATATGCATTAAACAAAAATGTGTACATGGTTGGGTTTGGCAAGGCTGTGTTGGGAATGATGCAGGTAGCTGAAGAGTTGTTGGGAGAGCACCTGGTAAAAGGTGTCGCCAGTGTCCCTGTTGGTACCCAGGACAAGCTTCAATCTGGTGTGGAGAAATCTCAGATGTGAGTAAAATTATTTATTTATTATAATGGTTTTTGATCATATTGAAAAAATGCATATGACAACAAAGCTTATTTATTTTCAGGTCTGTGTTAGTTTTCATGGTAGTTGTTTTCATCATTAATTGATTAATTAATTAATTTATTTATTTATTTCAATTTTTCTGTTGTCATTATTTATTTATTTATTTGTTAATTTTAGCCCTCGGGAACCCTCAAAAATTGAAATCATAGAGGGAGCAAAGGACAACTTACCTGATGCTGAAGCCCACAGAGCTGCACAAGCCATATGTGACATGGCCCAGTCTCTTAGCCATGGGGACATATTGCTGGTTATGATTACAGGTACTTTAGCATTACATGGAAATGTACACTTGAACATTATGCAGCAGGATTTTGTTAAGGGACAGGGAGGGGAGGGGTTGATTTTTTTCCCTGCATGGTTGTGCTCAATAATGGAAATATAAAACAGAACTAAGAATCTTTTTGCTGATTCAGAATTGGGCTGAGGATTAAAGGGGCTTCATTTACAATATTTAGACTTAATATAATTACTTTATGCCCTTAATGCCAATATCATAAAAATATATGGAGAGATAAACTGAATGCTTCATCTGTAACATAATTACTTTAGAATTTCTCATATTTTACTTTTTCAAGATTTATCATTTTTAGACACTTTCAAAAATATACCCAGTACTTTGTGACCCAAAGCCAAAATGTTATTTTCAAGAGCTTTTAATTAAATTTATTTATTCCCAAACAAGCAGGAGAGAGGGGGTGGGGTTCAGATCATTGACTCTGGTAAATAAAGTACTGATAATTACCATAATATGCTTTCATGTTATTTCCAGGAGGAGGATCTGCCCTGCTCCCCCTGCCCTGTGCCCCTATCACCCTGGAGGAGGTCAATGAAACCACCAAACTGATGTCAAAGGCTGGGGCCAAGATACAGTCTATGAACACTGTAAGGAAGAATATTGAAGTTCTGAAGGGTGGAGGACTGGCCCGGATGGCACAGCCTGCTAAGGTGATTGAAAATTTGAGTGATTTCTCTCTCTCTCTCTCTCTCTCTCTCTCTCTCTCTCTCTCTCTCTTTTTTGCTGATGCTGTGGTCGCTTCAGGGACTTATGATACCAGTTTCAGCATCCAATTTCTTGTTATTTTCCTAGTTGTCAGGGCAGGAAAGGTAAAAAGGTGAAAAGTAAGCAGTAAATGTGCCAGAGTATAATGTAATATTATGAAGTTGCATATATTGTACAGCATATTCATATACACATCTGCCATGATCTTTTAGAGAGATGGACCAGTTGTTTAGATCTATTTTTACTTTAATCACAAGTAGCATTGTCGTAAAAAATGAGCGAAGACCAAACTAGAAAGATTCAACAAAATCGATTTAGTGATTTAGATTTTACACATCTTCTCCCATAAATTCATGATAATATCAATTTGTTTAGGATTTGCAGAGGATGACAACAATAATAACTGAATCAGATGTGGCTTGGAAGCACTGAATATCATTGATCAGAACTGTATTGTATCTTATATTGTTATGTAAATCTAGGTGATTTCACTGATATTGTCAGACATTGTCGGAGACCCTCTGGATATGATAGCAAGTGGTCCCACTGTGAAGGACGTGTCTTCTGCTCAACAGTGTCTTCACCTCTTTGCTGGTAAGCCTAGTCTTTTCCTCTTTTTTTCATGGTAAAAATTAGAAGTAGTAAAATATTTCTAATTCCAAGATTAAAAAGGCTGAAATGCTTCCAGACTGAGATTTTTTTAGCAATATGTGAATGATTTTACAGCAAAAATTGGATACATATCTCCATACTAGTTTGACTTATGTTGATTGTTTTGGTCATAGCAATTTTGAATGAAAAATAAAGTTATTGATCCCTTTAACAATATTATTCATACTGTGTATAAAAAAGTCAGCTTCAACCTCTCTCTCTGTCTCTGTCTCTCTCTCTCTCCCCCCCTCTCTCTCTTCCTATTGTAGTCCTGTGGTTATTTCAGCACATATAAGTCATAATAACAGCAGTTTCCAAAATTGATGGATTGATCAAAACCTTTTGCTTTTCCTTTATTTCAGATTTAGATTTAGTTGACAAGGTGCCAAAGTCAGTATTGACATTTCTTCAAAAGGGTGCTGCCAATGAAAACTCTCTCAAAAAGGGATGTTCATCCACTGAAACTAACAGATTTCTGAGTGATGACAGTGTTGAATGTGACTGGAATCAGGTAAAATATATACCATCCCAATACCAGCTTAGTCCTGATATAGTCTGACTAATGTCAGTAGCTAGGCTAGGGGCCTGTTTCACAGAAGAGCTGGCCCCAGTTTCACAAAAAAACTGAAGTCAGTTCCCTGGCTTAGTTGACTAGGATTTCCATGAAGGTGCTGTTACACTGTTCCTGATAGGGTAAGATATGACCATGTAACCTTGTTATGAAGTTCTGAGCCATGGAACCTGAATTAAGTTTTTTGTGAAACTGGTACCTGTAGTCCAAAAATTGGTCTAAACTTTTAGATCAAAATCATAGTCTTCTTTGACCCGAGGTAAGTCAATACTGTTATAGTAGCAGTTCAATTTAATCAAAAATTGCACCTGTTTTATAACAGGAAAGGTATGACTGATGTTTCTGACCAGTCTTTCCTTAAGCAGACTACTGTGGGTTTAATATGAACTGCAATATGCAAAAGTTTTGATGACTTATAATTGTTTAGACCTATTTCCAAGCTTAGTTTATTTGGTGAGACAGGCTTCTGAAAAGTCCATAGCTTGATTTGGGAATAACAAGCTTATTAGGATTATATATCAGATTCAAGTAGATTGTTTCTGGTGTAAGCTATAGTCACATTGAGAGGCGATCCATTTTTATCAAAAAAATACAGATCAGTACGTATGTATTGCAATAATTAGCACATTAGCTATTTTAACTTAATAACTATGTAAATTCTCAGGGAATCAAAACCCTTAAAAGTTGATCAAAAAGCCCTTGAAATAAGTTGTATATTATATATATTTTCTTTATTGTATGACAAAAAGACCTTAAAGCATGAGCCAAATGACTTTACTGATTTATTTTTTTTCTGACAAATAGGTGCAAAATGTTATCATAGGCAGTAACAGTATTGCCATCAAGGCAGCAGTGGAGAAAGCAGAGGCCCTGGGGTATGTGGCATTTGTCCTCACTGACCAATTGGAGGGGGAGGCAAGAGACATTGGTGTGATGTTTGGGAAGATGGCCCATTTTATCTGTGAGTCATTTAAAGACAAACAGCAACACATGTCATCTAATAAGTCCCTGATTAAGGCAGAAATTAGCTTAGTACAGACAGGAATGACAAAAGAAGCTGTGAATAGTTTGCGTCGAGCTGTGTCACAGGCACAAAATTCTGGCCAGCCTTTGTGTGTAATATGTGGTGGAGAGACTACAGTCAGTGTCAAAGGTCAAGGTCAGGGTGGACGAAACCAGGAAATGGCCCACTCAACAGCCATAGAACTGAATATGTTATTTTCTGACAGTCCATATAAAAATGATTTTAACATCCAGTTTCTGAGTGTAGGTACTGATGGACAAGATGGTCCCACAGATGCAGCAGGCGCATTTGCTGACCCCATGACCTTGACTTTAAGTGCTGACCTTGATGCTGTTGAATTCTTGAATGACAATAATAGCTATAACTTCTTTAAACAAGCTAATAATGGGCAGGATTTATTGGTTACAGGAGCAACAGGTACTAATGTTATGGATCTGCAGTTTCTGCTGATCAAAAGATGTATATAATACCGGTAACTGCTCTCTCCCAGTGGTCTTCTAGCTATTACATAATTGTAGAAAATTATAGGCAGTAATATCACATCTTTTGAAATTGACATGATCAGTTGAAATGTATTCTTCACCAGGCATAACATTTCCATATCCCAGTTGGGAGAGTTTCACTCCTATGTAAACAAAGGTCTTTGCTACCTAACACAAGTCAAGCTTCAAAAGGAATATCATTATTCACATCTTCAACCGCAGCGTGAGTTTTGTATAGGGGTAGTTTAAAATTGATTGACTGATGACAGCTTGATCCTTTCAAGTTCCACATTATAATTCCATATATATATATATAATTCTGTAACAACTCATATTAAAATATCTCTGTTAAAGAAAAACCAACAACTGTATATTAACTTAAATTCCCTTCCATTTCTTTTGTCAATTTCTCCAGTTAAAGAATACATGTCAGACCGTGAAATAAATAATCAAATGGACAGAATTTAATTTTGACTGTATGCAGTATTTTTAAAAAGTTATTTTATGACTTTGTCCACTGCATACATGAATTTCAATTTTGATGCAGTTCTTGAAAATGTGATTTAGAATGTATTCAAGATTAAAACAAGGAGTAAGAATGAGTCATGTATAGTAACATCAAATTTTGAGTTTCAAAAATACTGATAATGATGATTATTATGAAACTCATCTTAAACATCCATCTGTCAATTAATTTCAAGAGAACAACTCTCCCTAGCTCACATTAACAGGCTATAATCCAAAACAAATGACTGTAAGCAGTTATTGCCAGACTCATATAAGTAAGGGATTCACAATGCAACAGAAAGATTCTGACTGAAGACACTAGTGTCGTGCATGTTTATGGTATTAATTTTGAAAAAAAATTAAATTAACTCTATTAAGTTTGGTAAAAATAAAAAAAATTCTTTTCAGAGTTGAACATTATAAACCTCTATGTAAAAGATTTTTAAAAATGTAGACACTTAACAAAATCTGTTGTCATGATTCTACGTCATCTGAAGGTTAACCAAAAGATATGGAAGACGAAACATATGGTTCATTAAATATTTACAAAGAAAAACTTTTAACTCATCTGAAATAAAGTATATAAGACGTGGATTGCCAGCAGGACCTCTGAATCTATCCTACTGGAATATGTGGTAAATGATGCAATAAACAATTCATAGAACCATTTACTTCATGAGGGACCCATTGAGGGGGTTAGTTATCACAATTCACTGGAAATAAAATTATCATGATTCAATATACAAATCACAGTAAATAAAATTTTATTCATATCTCATTTGGAGTACAGGAACCACAGGTTAAAATCACAGATCAGTGAGTGTAATGACTTCATTTTACAGAAGACAAAGAAGAGTTGCATTCACAAGTCACAGGAATGGGATTCACACTAAATAATATGAGCATTTCGCTCATGTCAGTAAATAAAAAGCGACTTTCATTGGTAAACCAAACAGAAACCTCAGTCATATTATATATCCAACTAACAGTGAAGGGCTTTCATTACGAAAACTGCATATTATGCTTATAGTGCTTTAATTTTAAGAAGTACCTTTTAATTATTTCTTGGTGTGTACTTGACTGAAAATTACTATGACACTTTTCAGAAGATTGTTTGTGACTGGGTGTTTTGTCTCGATAGTTTCCTTGTTATTTATGACTTTAGTCTGGAAAAATGATACTGAACCCAGGATGACACGTATTCCGAAGAGCTCGCCATGCGTTAAACCTCGGAAAGAGAACCATGAGGCAGAAAAACTCTATCATTGCTGGTTAAAATTTGGTAAGAACGACACAGCCTCTATGTTTGTTGGATTGAAGAACTCTGATGCACACCGTACATATCAAAATAAAGTAAAGCAGTATGTTCACGAAATGCACACTGAAGTGGATACTACCCACTTAAGAGCAATCATAACTGAAAGGACCAAAACTAAGGACCATGGTATTCTATCTCCAACAGCTGGCGGAAGCAGTTTTAGAACTTTGGCAGAAGGGGAAGAGAGTTTGTTTTGTTCAGTTCAGGATCATTTCAATGGAACTTATGAAGTGTGTTGTCGGCGGCCAAGCATCAAGTGTGTTCAAGTAAAAGTGACTTTGGAGTATGTTGACTTTGAGGCGTATAGAAGTCATGGCATTTTGCAGGGTTACCCTGGAAAAATTACAAAAACATTCAAGCCAATCGAGTTATGTCCTTCTCCAGGTATATCAAAAGAAAAGACAAAAATTAGAAAAGAGATTTGCGAGCAGAAAACTGTGTTAGATTACATGAATGGCAAATGGATAAAACAGAATGGAACATGGCTGTGGTTTACAGAAGATGATTGTCTCTTCCACTTCATGACAACCAAGGAACTGTTTGAATGTAAAAGAAAGAAAGCCAGCATAGCTTTTGTTGGTGATTCTCACATGCGATATGCAGCTTTTTACCTTTTGGAGTTACTTGGAAGCAAGGAAACTTTTATAACTCAACAACTAAAGCAGGGACTGTATCATTTTGAAGACAACATTGGAGCTATGTGGGGTGGGTATCCATATGATGCAAAAGAAAATTTAAAAAGGTACCTTTCCTCTAAACAACAATGGTCTGATTCTGATGTGATTGTGATAGGCTATGGTTTATGGACTTTATCAAAACAAAATGATGGACCTTCACGGCTATATAAGGAAACCAAAGAGTTCACTGACTATCTGAAAAGTTTGAGATCGAACCCAAATACTAGCAACATCAAAATTTATTTTGTCACCATCCCTGCTGGGGGACGTGCGCAAGGAACATGCAATCGATTTTCAAAAGCTGCAGCTAGTGATATGATAAAAAAGGACATGGTTGAACTAAGGGTGGATATTTTTGATACTTTTTATATTACAAATCAGCATATTGATGGAAGATGTGACTCCCTCCATTATCTTTGCGGATCTGTGGCTAAGTTGCCAGGGGATCCTATTCACATTGGTGATGTGGGCATGACCATTGCCCATCTATTATACAAAGTCATCTGTTAGTTGCCTTAGTCTGTCTTAAATGACAATAGCAAGCTCTTTAGATGTCTGTTCATATAGCCATCACCTGTTTTTGTAGTTGCTGTTGCTGTTGCAGTGCACTTTGAAAGATAATGCAAGAATTCCAAAACCATTTGGCCTTTTGTCTTCAAACATTCTTAATCCATGAATATTCATAAAATGCAGGTCAAGTTCAAACAGCTTCATTGGCACATTTTCTTAAAAGTTCTGCTGTTTTTATGTACAGACACATTTGTGTCTGTACATAAAGCTGTCACCTGTGTCTGTTGTCGTCGTCATGGCCGTTGTCGCTGTGCACGTTCACAGATAACACGTTAAGTGGAAAAGCATTTTTATGTACAGACACAGATGTGTCTGTACATATTGCCATCACCTGCGTCTGTCGTCGCGGTCGCCGTTGCCGTCGCCAATCATGTCGCTGTCGCCGTGCACTTTCAGCGTTAACACCATAAGTGGAAGACAGTTTTACTTTTTAGCTTTATATTTACAGAGCTGACTAATATTCATAAAACGCAGGTCAAGTTCGAAAATCAGCATGATCGGGCCATTATTGTAGAATTTATGCTGTTTTTAACACTTTTTAGCATATATGCAACACTGTTAACACATTTCAAGGAAAACCGATAGGCCTGTTGTCATGAAACTCACAGGAGTAATCAATCTTACTAAAACGCAGATCAAGTTCGAAAATCGGCATGATCCGGCCACTATTTTAGTAGTTATGCTGTTTTTTTTCACTTTTCAGCATATGTGCAACACTGTTAACACATTTCAAGGAAAACTGATAGACCTGTTGTCATGAAACTCACAGGAGTAATCAATCTTACTAAAACGCAGGTCAAGTTCGAAAATC